GGGGAAAACCTGGCGCAGCTCGCGGTGATTTCAAGGGGTTTCACTGGGGAAAGCCATTGGGAAAAACCATGGTTTAATAATATAAAGGATTTGCACATATTTGGGATTTCAAACAGATTTTTCTGATTTTCTTGGGATTTGAACATCAACAAAAAACTTCACTTTCAAACATGGAGCTCAATCTGGTGATTTCATTTTGTTTGATTTGTGGGGATATACCAAATTAATTCCATGGTTCAATAGAGGATTTGCAATTCTGTGGGGGGGCCATAGAATGGGGTGCTTAATATTATATAGGAGATTGTTCTTCTCTTGGTGATGGGAATCTTAATTTCATTGTCATCAGTACCACTTCCAGAGGATTGAACATTTGATTATTTGATATTACTTGGTGATTTTCAAAGGAAGTTGGGAAGCAATACTTTCGTGTTGCGGACAAATAGAATTGTCAGACTTGACATTGATGAAGGGTGGAGTGCGACTTGACATCACATAACAATACATCACAAATGCAAATAGAACTACACTACATTACACAACACTACACTACACTAATTACATTACATTACACTACAGCTGCAACTACCACTACATTGCACTACACGACACTACACTACAGCCATAACTACACTAGTTTACACTACAATACACTAGACCACACTACACTATACCACGCTACAGTACACAGCACTACAGTACACTACAGTACACTACACTAATTACACCACACCACAACAACAACTGCAACTGCAACTATACTACACTAATTACACTAAGTACACTACATTACAACTACAACTTACAACTACAACTCACTACACTACAACTACAACTACCCTACACAACATTACTACAATTACTACAATTGAGATAATTACAACTTCAAGCACACTACAACTACAACTACAACAACAACTACAACCACGACTGCAACATTACAACTTGAACAACTTCAACAACATCAACACCACTACAACTACAACTACAACTACAGCTACAACTTCAACTACTGCCCTACACGACACTACACCCAGGAGTTGTGAGTGAGGTGACCGCTGCAACCATTGCAACCACTCCAAAAAGCACAACTCCAACTACTTTTCGGTTCATCAGTGGATTCGCTCTGCCATCCGTGATTCACAACAACCAATCTCTCCTGTAGGTTTCCTATTTTTGAAACGTCCGCCACCGCCTTGTGCGGTACTACTGGAAATCCCTATTCGTGGATTGATGACCGTCCTGCAATACGGGTTTACAATCCAACTTTGATCGTGGCACGTCGCATATGCAATCAACAGTGTTGATTTCTGTTGTCACAACCTGCAACGTTGGCAGCCAAAAGGTTTCTATCTGGGATTATTTAAGGGTAAACTATAATCTTTCAACAACCTGAAATAAGGTCCACAATGGGGATGATTGCCCGAATCCGAACCATGATTCCAGTGAGGTCACTAGAATTTACCCAGATTTGACATCCTCCAAAAATTTATTGGGGCAGCTGCCGGCATCCAGCTAGCATCGCACCTTTGACCACATCCAACATAGATCTCTTTGGAGCCTCCTTTTTGGTGCCTTTTTCAAGGGACACACGAAAAACAAAGTCTTGGAAAAATCTGCTTGGACAAGCAGAAAGTAAAGGAAAAACTCATGATTCACGAATATGCTCCTACGTGTCGAGTCTTTGTTTTTGCAGGATCCTGGATATGAAAGTGCTCGTGAAAACTAGAATATCTAGATATATCTAGAATACTTATGCAATGTATCATTCAAATGGTTCCCATCCCAGTGGTTCCTATCCGTGGCACAAATGTCCACCTAAACTGTCTTCATGTTGTTGCCAGGAAGGCACGTCTCACGTTGTCACCCACCGGAACTTTCTATTGGTTTGTGTAGTATCATCTGGTATACATGTATATCAAGGCTGTTTTGATGTCTTATACGGTAAATAAAAATCACATGAAGTCACATGACCTATCGGCAATCGTCACATTCCTTGATACACCAAACACATGGGGATGGGTCAAAATAACATTCACCATCTGACTGGGGGAATAAACATCCACCGTTTTTTTTTTTTTCCACCAGGGGTTTTGAATGGAAAAATGACCCAGAACCACATCACATCACCAGCGACTCCAGGCTACCAAGACCTGCCAAGACACTTGCCGCCAAGGACTTTGCTTCGGCGGGTGAGCCGGAGACATCTGGCAGGCACGTGTTCGGTATTGTAGGCGTATGTAACCTAGCTATTGAAAATGACCCATTTCTAGTTGACTTTGCTATTAGCATGGTGATTTTCCGTGGCTATGTTAGTTTACCAGAGGATATGCCAATAAAAGCCAAAATTCTTTGGCCATTTCGAGGCTTTCTTTACTAAGAGATCCAATTAAGAACCCAGTTTTGACCCAGGGTTCTGTCAGCTGAGGCAGAGGCCCCATTAGGTAAGTAACCCTTGTCGGATTGTAATGGGTTCGCAATTGTTGGAGACACCCTGAACCCAACTTACCCATCGGTATTGATCGTTGTCTTGGGGCTCCGTTGGTCATTCCAATAACTTGGCACTTGGCACTGGTTAAAACCAACATGGTCCCCCTTCATTTTTGGCTCGTCCGAAAAAGAACATCAATAAAAATCATCTTCTAAACTACACCTTTTTTTTTTGGCATTCCAGCGGAGTTTCTGACGAGGGTATGCTCATAACATCTCAGGTGCATTCCATATCCTGTCAAAACATGTCACAAGGTGGATCCAAAATCACCGACCCTCCCAGCAACCGGGCCTTTTCGACTTGCTGGCGATGACTGTCGCTTTCGAACCTAAAAAAATAGGCTTCAATTGGTCCAAAATGTTCAAATGAGTTGGGAGTACATGATCATTCATGACCTGATTGGTGTGGGCATATCCAGTTGGGTAGAACTCCTTGATCCAAATTGGATGGTTTCAATTTGACACTGATGGCCCGAAGGCCAGAAATGGTCACAGCCGTAACAGCCCTGTTTCATCTCTGTGTTCCCAGAATTCATCCCAGCAGTTTCCAGCAGTTTTCCCAGCGGATTGCCCCCGTGGATGGCTATGGATCACCTGGAAAACTGCAACAGCACCAGAGAATCCAGAAACAAACACGAAAGGTTATAGTGATATATGATAGTTGGTTATAGATAGATGAATACTGAGCTCATGATTTTCCAGGTAGCCTTTTTGCTCTCAATTTTTGGGCTTACTTGTCTAGCCTTGGGCGCCCCCACAGCATCCGCCTGGGCTTCACAAAGGGGGAACGACGGAACCGTTTCATTGCTGATATAAATTGATGTTTGAAACTTATAGTAACCCCGGTAACCCCCCAAAAAAGCAGACACACATATCACATCCTACTAAAATAGTGGTGATACAATACTGTTCCATCTTTTTCGTGGTTACATTTTGCGGGGAGCAAGGGTATCTCGGTTCCGCACGATGAGTGCTTTCCACCGGTTGCTTCACTGAAGAAGCAAATCATGTTCCTTTCTTTTCTACAAAGAAGAACTGATCAACCAAATAGTAAAAACATAAGTAGCTAGATATATATATATATAATATACAAAAGTAGCTATACAACAAACAATAAATCAAAGTAATTACCCTCTGGTAATTTAACGTAGCTATGGAAAATCACCATTTTTTATGGGAAATTCCACTATAAATGGCCATTTTCAATAGCTATGTTAAATTACCAGAGGGTAACCAAGACGATCATCAAGATATGTTGCATGAAGGCTATGCCCAACCACGGAGTCATGCAGGTATTCAATGGCCATTTCAGGATCCTAGATTGGAGGTACCTAGCATATATAAGGCCTATGTAAGGCCTATTTTTTAGGCCTATGTAAGTGAATATCCCCACAAAATATGGCCTTATATGGTACTAACGTACCTCCAATTTAGGATCCTGAAATGACCATTGAGGTATGGTCAGGGCTCGGCGAGCAGCCAAAGTCGAAGGCTTCAACAACGTGGCCAATCTTAGATGCCCAGCACAATTCTATGCACCTATGCACCTGTTATATATATATATATATTATATCATTACATATGACTATAAGACTATATGTATGTATATGTACAATATATTATTATATATATATATATGTATAATATAATATGATTTATACATCAGGATATGAGGGCTAATTCGTTACCTATCTCTTCATTGTACCTTTTCAGATCAGGCTTCCCAATTTTTTCGGTCCATGGGGTTGGTGAATCATCACCGATCCTCAGCTCAAGAGGAAAGTCTTGTTCCAACCCCCATTAGTTTTGGGGAGGGTACCCCAAAATCATCCATTAAAAAATGACATTTTCCAATGACTGAACTATATCCATTTTGAAAAAAAAATATGGGGTAATTACCTCATAAAAATAGAAACCCGCTAATATGACATGGTGGGTATACCAATTCCCACAGACCATGGATGATCCCTCGGTGATGCTGTAGCGCCTTTGTGCCCTTGTCTGCCACGGATGCCATGGCCGCGTGACAAACGAGGTCCGGAAGTCGCTTCTTTTGCTTTTTGTGAGGGGGTATCAGTCATCATCCGGAATCAATTTCGCTTCTGGACTGTGGACTGTGGTACAATTTGTATCATTCTTCTGGTTATCATTATTATGATTGTATATTTCGCTCTGGGACTAGGCCTGGAACGCGCCTGGAGACGGGCCTAGGACTAGGCCTGGCCACAGCATCCCATCTTGGGGATGCGACAGCATTGCCTGGCTGCTTCCCTGATTTCCCTTCTCAAACTCCCAAAGTTTCACCAAAGTTTGACCTGTCAGATGTAGACATTTCATGAAACACTCAGATATATGGGTATGGGTCAATACCTATTAATACAATTTTAGGGGGTTATTCACATCCATTTTAACCCAGCTATTTTGATGTGAACTACAGGGGTACTATTGGTTTTGACACACTGCCATATAAAAACTGTTGATGAAGACCCTGACGCCGCGTCGCCGGCACCACGTCTTTTCGTGCTCCATCGGTCACGTCACCATCCGCAGCTTTTTTTGCTCTACGAAGCCGCAAGCGTCGTCGCCTCGAACCGCGTCCGTGATGTGGGAATTTTTTTCAGATGTTATAATGGTACTATTATGGTACCCATTATATAATAGTTACTATGTTATAACATAGTTATATAACATATGGTACCCATTATTATAACTATTATGGTTTATTTTTTCACTATAATCATAGTGACTATTATGGTACCCATACTATGATAATCTATGATATATGTCATAATCGTTGGAATCATTCTTCTGTTATTCTTACTGTAGTGCCATACAAGTATTATAATCAGTACAATGATTACAATATATGTTGTAATGGGGCCCCTGGTCATCCCACCATCATTAGAGAGTTCTTATAAATCATTATAATGGGTATCTGAATCCCAAGGAGAATGGATGACCATTCAAAAATGAATTGATACCCTCTGGTGAACTAACATAGCAATTGAAAATGGCCATTTATAGTGGATTTTCCCATTAAAAATGGTGATTTTCCATAGCTATGTTAGTTTACCAGAGGGTAATTCAATTTCATGATAATTCAGGGATTCCCAAGGCTTTTCCTGGAAAAAATATGAAAAAATCATCCCTGTCGGAGAGTACACAACCATCCCCTTATGTGGGAAAGTCAGCCATGTTTTGACCGTGGCACATATCGATCTTAGAATATAGTGGAATATGTTAGTTTGATTTCTTGCAGAAGATTCACATGAGCTTTCTGTGGAATTCCTGTGGGAATGCCTGTGCATGAAGCTTCTTGTGGACATGGCAATCATAGCAAATTCAATGCAATTTCATTTCCAGGCTTCTATATGAAATATGCGCCCTTTCATTTAGCCCCATACCACATCTGGTAAGGCTGAAACCTGGTGTATAGTACACTCCAGTAATGCCTGAGTGGAAATGGAACATCTCCCGTTCCTGAAACTATCACCGGTTGATCCTCCATGGTATCCCATAGTATCCCCATGAGGCGAAGCGCCATGGTGCTTGCCGAAGCGCTCTGAAGCGCTCCCTCCACCATTGGATAGATGGTTGATATTACATCCCATGAAAAACCCCTGTTATATCATGGTATATCATGGAAAAAAACCCTGTTATAACATTACAGTATGCCAAACCATGGTTGATATGACAAAATGATGGTTATTAAGTTATATCCCTATTACAGTATATCCCAAAACATCATTTTGTTGCTTACATCCCAACCTCCTTCTGAAATCCCCAAGATATATCCATAGTATATTCTTTCCCCCTTAAAATGCATGGGTATTCTTTTTTCACTTCCATATCATTCCATATCATTCCATACCATTCCATATCATTCCATATATCTCCATATATCTCCATATCATTCCATATTATCTTTATATATCTCATGACAAAATCACAAAATCATACAAAATTTAGCCCAGCAGCATCATCCCACCATATCCCACCATATCCAAGTTTCAAAAGAACTCCAACGTGCGCTTGGCTGCACTCAGCAGCTCGTGCTTGCGCCGTTGGGCAAAGTCTGCGGCCACCAGAAGGTGGGAGCCAGGGACCACCTGACTATGGGAATTTGACCATCAAAAATTGGGATATGATGGGTATATAAATGGTATATACATGGTATATAAATGGTGTACAACCACAAATATCAACTGATACATGGGGAGTTGAGAAAACAACCATTTTAATGGGATCTAAATGGAGGTTGATCATGAACAGAGCTGTTGGTACACCGTGCCAATGATGGCTGCGATGATAGAATTGGATCACCGGAAAGTCTACAGGAAACAGTAGCCAGGGGTTATGTCGTCTCAATTATCCTGTTTTAATCCATGTATTCCCAAGTTCATACACCACAACTGGGGATCTTGTATTCTTGTCATCGAACTAGTTCAAGGGAAGATCTACAGGAAAACCCTAGGTTGAATGGTAAGATGGTAAAGATCATGGTTCCCGGTAAATCATCCCTGAAACCAATCCCTGACATCTGCCAGGCGATCCTTCCTCGGTAAACAGCAGGTGCTGTTTACAAGGGCAATTCCCATCGCCGCCCAGCAGCTCTCCAGGTCGACCCCAAAAGTTCAGAACTAATGAGGTGACTATATCACGTCAATGGACATACCCTCTGGTAAACTAACATAGCTATGGAAAATCACCATTTTTAATGGGAAAACTCACTATAAATGGCCATTTTCAATAGCTATGTTAAATTACCAGAGGGTATCACTAGCAATCTGAGATCAACCATTGAAAAAAACGAGTCATTCACCAGCCGCCATGAAACCCAACCATTGATAAATCGAATCATTCACGCGGTATAACGGGAAACCGTCAGCTTCACCCAGTTATACTATTTTTCATCAGCGACAAACACGAGAAAATGAAAATCACCAACAATTACACTGTACTATTGAAAGAGTGTAATTGACAAGGTGAATAATATTACCCTCTGGTGATTTGTTCCATAGCTATTGAACATGGCCATAGAAATAGTGGATTTTCCCATTAATGGTGATTTTCCATAGTTTTTTGTATGTTTACCAGAGGGTATCCAGAATATCCAGCCTGCTTAGGATACTGGTGAAAGACCAACAATAAGATTCCTACATGTTGACCCCATCCCCGAAAAAACGCCGGAGAAACCCCACCCATACTGTACATGGCGCAAATCCAGCAAGTTTTGTGCTACATCCCCCAATTTCGTGATTTACAACGGTACAACAAGCCATATCATATATACATAGTTCCTATATATATATATATTGCATAAAAACCACATTGTACATAGAGACTAGACATAGATATGTAACCGTGCATAGCGGGCTGTCAATTTACATCGTACATATAAACCGGAATAACCCATACATATCCCATTCATGTGTATAATTACTATCACTATGATTTTAATATCTCTATATTATATACTATTGCACATACACTATCCCATATGGTATCGCAGATATCATATATCCACTATAGGTTTGTCTGGAATTCTTGTGCACCCCATTCCGTCCATTGGATTATCATCATTTTCCCTATTCAAATAACCATTTGAGGGGTATACCCTGTTTTCAGACACACCGACACACCCTTTTTTGGGGGTTTCTTAAGTCATGGGGAATCCCCAAACACGATCAGTTTCAATACGAGTCGTCATGGATGACCATGACGACTGGATGATGACTGGGGTACCCCCATGACTTAGGAAACCTCCAAATATATCATGATATACCACATATCCATATATATATAATATATATATAATATATATATCCACATATCATATCTCGGGCGCCTGGATCAATGACATGTGCTCCTTCTGCTGAACACGCCCAGACCACCACAAGCGGAAGCGTTCAGAGGCTCCATGCGTGGCCTGCCATGGTCCAGCGACTGATCTGGGGATCTAATGGGATGCCATCATCATCTGGTGGGTGGTTGACCTGCCATGACCTGAAACATAGAAAGTCATGGATGATTTTCTTCCCATTTTTTGGTGGAAAAATAATCAAAAAAAAACATGTTCCAAAGCACCAATCAGTCACAAAATGATGATAAACAATAATACTGATTATAAGAAGGGTTTTATGCAATGATTAAGGTCTTATTAACCACCAACGACCACGTGTATTGTGGTGAATCTTAACGATCTATTCGATCTATTGTTACTGGGGTCAAACCCCTGAATGGTATGAATTACAGCTAAGATCACCATTCCATCGAAAGGGATAAACTCAAAAATAAAGTCAAATAGTCAACCTAGCAATCTATGACATAAACCAACATAAACTGCCTGTCTTGTTGTGTGAACTCCTCACGTTTGTTACGCTTTCCATTCACCCATCTGGATCAACAAGGTCGCACCGTGCAGTCGCTGCTCATCATTTATCCATTATGTTTATGTCCCCATCATATCCCACATGTATCCGCATTCCTGAGATTCCTGCCGATTTCTGATGGTTCAATCATGTTAAATCCCCGTTTTTGTTGGTGAAATTCCCATTTTGGATGGTTAAATGCATTTGTTTGGTGAAATCTACATGTTCGATGGTCAATTCAGTCAACTCCCCTTTTTTTTTGGTGAAATCCCAATTAAATCACCATCTGTGTTTGTTCTTCGCTGAGCCGAACCACATTCCGAAGCTGTGAGAGGAACGGTTCCCAGCGTTTTGGCGGCGCTGCCGTAGGGGCTGGGGGTGGCGCGCGACACCAAAGGTCCTGTGGCGGCTAATCCTCCAGCTTTGGAGGTTTCCAATGGGTTCCAAAAAGCGGAACATGATCCCCAAAAATGAGACAAAAACATACAAAAAACAAGAACCTGAGTCTTTTGGTGTCAGTTTTTTGGTGATCTTCAGTTTTCTGATATTTCTGGCAGTTCCAAGCGGTCTTAATGAATGTGGCAGTTTTGTCACCTCTGGGCGAACCACAGTTTCCTGAAGAAACGTGGCCCAGAAATAAGTACCATATGGTACCATGTTCCATCCCATGGTTTAAAACTGTTTTGGCGGTTATTTGATGGCCATACTTTGAAACAAATTCTCAAGTTCCGAATTTCCCGAGATGGCGCCATATTATCCCCATACTTGCTCCCAAATCACCAGTTGTTCTACTACTTTGGTGATGAAATTCCAAATTCTAGTGGTGACCAGATAAAAGGATGCAGCAGTCCTCTAACTCTGGCAGAGGCGGTAAACCTGCAATGATCATTTTTGGATGGAGACTCCCTTCGTCGTTTCTGTCAATTGGGCTGGGGTATCATCAACCTTCATTTGCAAACTATATCTGCGGGTCACACCCGTACTGTAAATCTATTGGTTGATCACTATTTTCCAATCCAAATTGCAAAAATATAAAAATTGTTTCATCATCACGTTCCCTGTGAATTCAAGGGGTTCCCCATTTATTTGTTGTTTTTTCATGGTGTTCCCATATTTATTTGTTCGATTAAATAAAAAAATAATTAATCAATTAAATAAATAAATATAAATAAATATTAAAACTATATGTACATATATAAATAAATAAATATATATATATATATACAAATTATAAAAATACACAATTGCAAGTTTGGCTGGCGAATCATCATTCCCCTATTGAAAGAACCATAAACCGGGGGTTCGCCCTCTGGCAATTTAAAGAACAATTTGCAATGGAAAATTTGAAAATCACCATGTTGAATTTGGTAAATCATCTACACTCGGGCCGTTTCCCATGTTGGGAAAATATTTGTTTTGTTTTTTTAAATAAACATATAAATGATATAGCTTCCCTCCAAAACTGAAAGTGGAAGATGTGAAAACGAAGCTTTCGCCCGAGACACCCCTCAAAAAATGAAAGTGGAAGATGTGAAAACGAAGCTTTCGTGCGAGATGTCCTTCAATTTTTGAAGCTCAAGTTGTGCAAAACGACGCCTGAAGCGGCAGCTACACTGCGGGGCCGATCCGACAATGATCCGACCGTAACTGAACGTCTTCCTCGCCCGTCGCGCGGGAAGGCTTCCCCATCCATGCAAACCACAGCATTTCGTGCATCCGCTAACTTTCAAAACGGCATTTAGTGCGAGATTTCCCTCAAAATCTGAAAGTGGAAGATGTGAAAACGAAGCTTTCGCGAGACGTCCCTAAAAAATTCAAAGTGGAAGATGTGAAAATGAAGCGTTTGTGCGAGACTTCTTTTGCAAAAAGTGAAAGTTGAAGATGTGAAAACGAAGCTTTCGTGCGAGGCGTCCCTAAACTAAAGTGGAAGATGTGAAAACAAAGCTTTCGTGCGAGACGTCCCTAAAAAAAACTGAAAGTGGAAGATGTGAAAACGAAGCTGTCGTGCGAGACATCCCTCAAAAAGTGAAAGTGGAAGATGTGAAAACGAAGCTTTTGTGCGAGACGTCCTTCAATTTTTGAAGCTCAAGTTGTGCAAAACGACGCCTGAAGCGGCAGCTACACTGCGGGACCGATCCGACCATGATCCGACCCTAACCGAACGTGTTCCGCATCTGTCGCGTTGGAGGGCTTCCCCATCCAGGACACGTTTTGTCGTGCAAAACACAGCTTTTCGTGCATCCGCTAACTTTCACGCAGTCAACTGCCGTGCCAGCCAAGGTGTCAGCCGTCGTTCCTATAGGCTCTTTCTTTTCTTTATAGGCTTGTCCCTCCCTCGAAACTTCCGTCATCCGGCTTGCCCGGGTTCTACTTGTACTGATAACCATTTATATATATAAAACAACCAATGGTTTATAATAAAATAATAATAGTAATAAAATAATAATAATAATAATTAATAATAATAATAGTAATAATAATAATAATAGTAATAATAATAATAATATATATATATACATATATATATATTACCATATTCCGCTATATAATACCATGGAGTGTCTAATGATTTCGGATTTACCACATTAGTGGTTGTAAAGGGATAATAACCAACAACCATCTTATTTGAGCCATTAAAAATACCCAATATCCCATCTCATACTAGTTGGTTGAGAGGTTTCCCTATGCCTAATTTGCAGCCAATCATGTATATAAGCCAATTAAGTACTATAGTAACCAACCACTGGTATTTTTGTTGGTATAATCATGTATTAAGTACTGTAGGATATGTTGTATTTAAATCTAGTACTATAGTAACCAACCAATCCACCTGGTTATTTTCAGTGCCCCCAGCGCCTCTATGCCTGGCCTGCAGGGCTGCCGTGGCGAAACCCGCGCAGGTCTGCGTGGCGTTCGCCGTGACAAAGGGCGGTAACGGGCAATGTTTGCCCTAAAAATGTTGGGAAAATATCGGAAAAAAACATAGGAAACCAACGGAAAACCCTGTGTTTTTTGAGTTTGTTCCGTGATTTTTCTGGATTGAAATGGAATTGCTCATAAAAATGGAGTGCTTTTGCACAGAAAAATCACCAGAAGAGTAAACAACACATGTTTTATTTGTCATTCTTAAACACCTTCATTTGGTTGATTGAAATGGGAACTAGCCTACATATAATTATATGCAATCAGAACTGTCAATGACACACACACACATATGTATATATATATATATACATACCCGAATCTCTAGTGTTGATGTTGCCAGTCCAGGAGGGTTTTTTGAACCAGACTGGTGTCTCGCACCTGATTCATCTCCCCGAGCTCTAATTTCTTGGCCTTAGACATGGGGTAACTTGTCCCAAAGGTTGGGTAAAAAATGGGTATGACTCATCAAAATTGGGTACAGTATAAGTTGGGGATCAAGTTCTTTTAAGCGGGGATACTTCTATTCAATATGGTATTTTTTTTGGCCTATGAGTCCTCATTAAATTGGTAGATGGGGATCTAACCACTAGGGAACTCAACCGCATCGATCAAACGATTCCTTACCCTTGACCAAGCTTTATCTAGACTAGTGGGGGGGGTAACCCCTATGTTTGGCTCCCAACCCTGTGTATATTTTCAATTTTGCCGCTTTCAACCATTAGTTTCGCTGACAAAACGATCCGTGGAAAACTCCAAAATATATCGTTTGGACAGTTCCATTTGGATTGGAATATCTGCAGTTGTACTGGCAAAATCTTGGAACATCTTTTTCAAGCTCTGACCCCCCGGTAACGTGGCAATGGAACATCTTCCATTTCCTTCGATGATTTTCCAACCAGTCACGTTTCATGAGACCCGAGGGTAGCCTGGGGTAAACATGGAAAAAAATGTGGAAAATCCATGAAAATCCCATGGGTTTCCTTTGTATGATCTCAGGCCACGACCATTCCTAGGCACACATGTTGGAAAAGGCCCACGCGGGGCTCCCAACCTGGTCAACCATGATCTGGCGTCTGGAATAGGGCCACCAATTATATACATTTATATAAATTTATATATGTAATTTTATATACATTTATATATGTAATTACAGATATGTAATGTATTTACAGATATCTATAAAGACAAATAACGGTCCATACATGGCTATACTCATAGGTATTTATGTGTATGTACAACGAATAATATACATACGTATATGCAATAGTAGACTTTGGTAGAGACTAATTGTTCTATCTTTTCGTGAGCTGAATATTTGGGGACGGCTCAAAATGACCCATTTGGTGGGTTCATTGGTACTCTGCCTTGGAACCACAGCCATTTGGGTACCACCATGGTCTTCAATTGGCTGTTATGGATGTTCAGCGGCCACAGTGCAAACTTTTTAGTGACTTCTATGAAACTTGGCTATGGCATCATCTGGATGTGAATTCTGAATCGCCCAAAAAAACACGCCAATCAACTCATTTGGTCATTTTTAATCCCTAAAATCCTCCAAAAAACCCTCCCGTAGTGGTACCCACATCACTTAGGGCAACATCCAGAAATCACATGCTCCTCACACTTTGGACGCTCACTTGGGGCAACACGGACTTGAGAGCAGGCGGAGGCGGACGAAAGGTAGTGTAGTGGGAGAGGAGTGGTGTCAAAATGCTGCGCCTCTAAGATGATACACCAAAAACGTTTTTGCGCAGTCTAAGATGATTTTATCCAGAGCATGACTGCATGATACGGTGTCTTGTGCAGCGTGAAATGATGCACGAAAAGGGGTTTATTTAAAACCCCTTTTTAAGACCCCTTGCAGCAACTGTTATTGAGGCTGAAACATACCAATTATGCTGGACTACAGGGACATCTCCCTCATGCAAAGTGTGCCTCTAATGTGGGGGCCCGTGACCGCGTCACCCGTGGGAATTGAACCCATGACCATTTTCGGGGGGGGGCCCCCCCCCCTATAATTGATATCCAATACATAACGGCGAGAATTCCATGAATTCCGTGGGCTGGCCCCCCAATACCCCCTAAGCTTGTGCTGAAGCACGGAGAACTCAGGTAGCTGACGCTACCTTTCGTGATTTCATCACTTTGGGCAACACGGAAAACATCGTTCCTATCATCTAATTACTTGACTCAGCCATTTAGGGTTTGGTTCGGGGGGTGGGGAGGGATCATTCTACTTACATCATTACTTGACTCAGCCATTTAGGGTTTGGTTGGGGGGGGTGGGGAGGGATCATTCTTCTTACATCATTACTTGACTCAGCCATTTAGGGTTTGGTTGGGGAGGTGCGTGGGAATCATTCTACTTGCATCATTACTTGACTCAGCCATTTAGGGCCATTTAGGGTTTGGTTGGGGGGGTGGGGAGGGATCATTCTACTTACATCATTACTTGACTCAGCCATTTAGGGCCATTTAGGGTTTGGTTGGGGGGTGGGGGGGATCATTCTTCTTACATCATTACTTGGCTCAGCCATTTAGGGTTTGGTTGGGGAGGTGGGGGGGATCATTCTACTTACATCATTACGTGACTCAACCATTTACGGTTTGGTGGGGGGGGTGGGAGGGATCATTCTTCTTACATCATTTTTTGACTCAGCCATTTAGGGTTTGGTTGGGGAGGTGGGTGGGGATCATTCTTCTTACATCATTACTCGACTCAGCCATTTAGGGATTGGTTGGGGAATGGGTGGGAATCATTCTACTTACATCATTACTTGACTCAGCCATTTAGGGCCATTTAGGGTTTGGTTGGGGGGTGGGGGGGATCATTCTTCTTACATCATTACTTGGCTCTAGCCATTTAGGGTTTGGTTGGTGGGGGTGGGGGATCAATTCTTCTTACTCATTACTTGGCTCAGCCATTTAGGTTTTGTTTGGGGGGTGGGGAGGACCATTCTACTTACATCATCAGTACTTGACTCAGCCATTGAGGCGGGGAAGATCATTCTTCTTACCTCATAACCTGACTCAGCCATTTAGGGTTTGTTTGGGGTTGGGAGGGATCATTCTACTTACATCATTACATCATTACTTGACTCAGCCATTTAGGGTTTGGTTGGGGGGGAGGGATCATTCAACTTAGATCATTACTTGACTCAGCCATTTAGGGTTTGGTTGGGGGGGTACTTACATCATTACTTGACTCAGCCACTTAGGGTTTGGTTGGGGGGGAGGGATCATTCTACTTACATCATTACTTGACTCAGCCATTTAGGGTTTGGCTCGGGGGGAATACTCGGAAGAAAATCATGAATTATAACAAGTATGAGGATGAAACATATGATGATGATGATGATGATGATGATGATGATGATGTTCACGTGATGGTCAACATGATGGTCAACATGATGGTCAACCCTTAGTGGACAGCATGATGATGGGGTACCCACCCGCCCTCCGATCCCTCATGATGGCCAACATGATGATGATGATGATGATGATGATGATGATGATGATGATGATGATGATGATGATGATGATGATGATGATGATGATGATGATGATGATGATGATATGTCTACTGTTGACGACGGCGGCGACGACGACGACGACGATGCTGATGTTGAGGTATCCCGAAGCGATGCATGAGGCGTAGCCCGAAGCGATGCACTCGACGTATCCCGAAGCGAGACCCTTTCCCACACTTTCATCCTAAAGTATCCTCACTTTCCAAAAACCCACCATTTTTTCTTCACCCTGGCCTTGCAGTGCCCCATAGGTCTCTTCAAGGAGCCGCGCGCAGTGATCACGCTCCAGGGAAGCCAGCACTGGACCCTGCGCTGGGAAGTGCTGGTTTTCAGGTACTGCCTAGAAATTCGGGGGAAACCAGCAATTCACCGATTCGGATCAGGATTATCGTCATTTTCCAGCTTTGATATGGAAAGCTTTTGATATAGCCCATGTTCAAACACTTATCGAGAATAATTACTTATCATCCCCCATTCAACATAGACCCTTGCCACGAGTCGGGAGGGAGTATCATTGTTATTTCCATGACTTGTAGGGCTTCGTTCCTTGTAAATATGTTGTTTCCCCGTTCAACCAAATATTTGGACCATGATGTTCTGACATGGGACAAATATCTGCGGACATTTGCAAAAAGAAAGAATCATATAGAATCACACGGGAAGAGTACCTTCAAAAATACATCCGAAAATAACCTAGAGTTCGGCAAACTTACAATACCAGAGAATTTACCACGATTTGAGTGTATAACCTCTCATCAAAACAGAATGCTTGGAAACTCCCCGTCACTTTTCCATTCGTAAATATGCTAAGACTTTGGTAGATGATTTGCATTGATTTGCATCAAAAGGGATTTCCACTGCTAGCCTATGTGATATTATGGGATACTTGTCTGAATCAGTTTAAACATGTGTAAGACATGTCCAAAGAATAAAGTAAAACCCATGGAATATTCTTGGATTATTGTCTTGTAGAACATCAGCACTTTTGGGTTTCAATGCTACTGCTCTTTACCGGAACTCTCTCTCCTTTTTGATCGTGGGATTTTCATCATCTTAGGAAGGGATGGACTTTAGATGGAAGAAATAGTTGGTAACTATTGCCAACTATGAAACACTGTAAAGCATGGGATCTTTTCACGGGGACGAAAAAACCAACTGGTGATTTCGGATTTCCACAGCGAAACACGTCTTTGAAGCCAGGATCCCATTGGATCCCGCACCTGCACTTCGTTGAGTTGCACGGCCTGCACGGCCTGCACGGCCGCAAGCAAAGCGCTGGCGCCCAGCAAGCGCATGGCCATCGCGGCGCGAGCTGGGCCGGGCTGCGGCGTCAATGATCATCAACCATCGACGGACTCGACAAAGGACTAGTTACGACTCGTTGATTCTGTTTCAAGTCGTCAGCATGTTGGATGTCGACCATGAAAGGATTTACCGACGAAGAATCACCAAAAGAACGCTGCACCGCCAGGATCATGTATCTCTTGGGACTGTCGGAATCCAAAATTTCCATACTCTGGCTGTTCACATTGGAGAAGCCAAGGTGCCAGTGATGGTTGATAGGAATCGTTAATGGGGACTCCGAGGATTTGTTGGGTACCATAACCTTAAATTATGAGTTAAACCCCATCTTTGTCGGCCAAAACCACTTGTCACAGGTTCAATATGTTGCAATCTTTGGTGATATCATATCATGCAAAAACTAAACAAACATGTTCATATTGTCAAGTCCCAAGCGCCCTTTTTCGACACTACGGGCGCTTGTAGCCACGGCCTCGGCCACCTGATTTCGACACATTCGATTCACCGCCATTCTTTCAAAATGGGACATTTCAATGGGATTTAACATGATTTAATATGATTTCACGAATCAAATCTGCTGAAACTGGTGATTTCTCATGACTTGACATGATTTCACTGATTAAATCAATTTAAACTTCTAGCACACAAAAAGTCGCGTCAAAATTGAACCAAGAAGCAAGAATCTGGGCATTAAATGAATACAAACAACAAACAACCAGCCAACATGCTGAAACTCAACTTAGGGATTTCGTTGGGATATGATCAGTGTCATGTGAATCTACCCACTCAAAATGGGACGACGCACGTATTTACAGCGGGGATACCAAACACATTTCATCACATTTTCGGATATTGATACAACGAAGGGTTTCATCCCGGACCAAAAAAAATTGATAGCGGTTTGCCGGCTTGTAGTTGGACCGTAGTTTTCTATCTTGTAGGAGAATTACATGTACAGGCAATGATTAACCTGGTTAGTAGGTTCCGCATTTCTTGGGCTGTCCAGCTACACAGCAATCGCATCTTAATTTTAATCATGTTTCTTTACGAAAACCGTAGTGGGATGCACGTCCAAATTTCAGCGGATCTCATGTCCTATCTATTCTAGAAATTCAAACGTTGGGATGAGTTCATCTCTCTTGTGGCGATTTGGGCATACCTCAAAATGATAACGTGGATCCTGTGGTACTCTCTCGTACTTCAACAGAGAGCTATGGAAAATCATCCATCTAGTTTGATGGTTTACCTGGTAAAAATTGTGTTGTTCCATAGCTATGTCAAATTACCAGATGCTCAGAGGGTGAAGTAGCCATTGGTTCCCGTCAAATTCCGTCAAATCCGGTGAAATCCCATCAAATCCAATTAAATTCCCAATTTGTTGATGATTGACCCACCATTTTTCCCATGAACTCCCCATGTTTGGAGCTGAACTCATTCTTATTGACACCAGAACTGCCAGCGCCGCTGGGACACCCTGCGCCCAGCACCACGCACGGCTTTAAGTCCTGTGACCTGCTACGTTAGAGGAATCCCACCAAAGTCGTGGTTTACGCCATCAACAAATTGTGATTAATGGAGGGATTATTTTATAAAGATGTTTCATGTTTTTTCATGGGATTCAATGGGATACGTAATTTTCTGATAAGTTAACAGTTTGTTATGGGAAAACACAATTCTTAATAAACAAACCATCGAACTATATAAATGGATCCAAACGGGCCATTTTCCATAGCAAACTGTTCAATTACCAGATGGTAACATGGCGGGGGGAATCCCTCTTGAATGTGTGTTTGGTCGCATGATGATGTGGTTGGCATGATGATGTCGTTGACATGATGGTGGGAATTCTAAGCATGACAATCGTCCGTAACTCGGAAGTTCCTAACTAAACTTCCTTTTATACGATTGCAAAGGGCTCAATATAGATCCATTGGTTAGCGTCATCTTTACATAAAAACCCAATTAGTGCAGATTCCATGTTGAATTTTCGAGGACGCCAAGGATATTGTCCATACAAGCACCGTACTTAAGTCACATCAGGCGAGAAAAGTCACATCATCCCCATGTCACAGCGAAGATACAGAAAAGTCACATCAGGTAGTGGAAAGTCACATCTGGGAAGAAGAATCAGCAAGCAAGCAATCAGCAGCAAGCAAGCAGCAGCAAGCAAGCAAGCAAGCAAGCAGCAAGCAAGCAAGCAAGCAGCAAGCAAGCAGCAAGCAATTAGCAAGCAAGCAGCAGCAACCAGTGTATGCCCCTTGAATTAATGATTAATTCTAAGTATAAGTAATTACTAAAATTGCCGCAATATGCCGCAATACAAAAATTGAAACACAAATTGAACTTTTTCCAAGCGCACGGCTCCAAAACAATGAACTAATTCATCAGTTACTAAAAGTTGTGGTGATGCCAAAATTGAACTTTTTGCAGGCGCACGGCCTCCCGATACGACTTTAACGAGCTACGACTTAACCCTAGCGCTTGTATCATCCTTAAGCACTGCGCCTGTTCAGCTTCTTTGGCCGTCTCTGCACAAAGCTGCTTCAACTCCGAGAGCTTGCTGGCAGCACCTGCCATTGAGAAACCATGGGAATTCTCTGCTTCTTTTCACATGCAAAACAGCTGTTAGAATAACTGCTGTAGCTGGTTGTTCAACCACAAATTGGAGGAAACACATCATGTGTTTTTGTGATTCATACCCAGTATATCCCAGTATTGTTTCCCCTTGTACCCAATCGCTTAAGATATCTGACCCACAGGTTCCGCGAGTTCGAGCCATCTCCCGGTTTTTTCCGGGTCAATGTTGGGCACAATCAAATCACTCTATAGGTGGTGCTAGTTGAACAGGTTATTTCAGCTATCCATATCACATGATATACCATAGCTTGGTCCATATTCAAACCAAAATCTAGGATTCAAATGGATTCAAACTCTTTCAAATCTGTATTATTCTTTAGTTTCTTGAAAATCTTGGCTATTCATTCCATCTTTTCCCAGATTTTCCTCAACCTATCGTCCCTGCGCCGAGGCCCACTGCGCCTTCCGCGGCTTCGCTTCGCTGCTCTCCGTTCTCGTTCGGGCCTTCTTCGGCAGCGTCCTGGATGTGGGATTCATCCAAGCCGAAGAACTACCATTGATGGTTTGAATGGTTTAAACACCAATAAAAATAAGGATTTGAGGGATGGTTTATGATGGTTTATGGCACGGGCTTTACCTCACATGAACTACATAACCTGATACATTATATATAGATTGGTATGACTTCGGGCTATGGCGTGAGGGTTGGTGGTGACACGTGACACGGTGACACTGGCAATCCCAGTCCCAAAGTAGGCAATAGATGGCAATAGGGTGATGAAACATAGTAAGTGATGCAAATAGTGAAACAGCACAGCTACATGTACAAAGAATCGGGTGACAGTATATATATATATATAAATTCAGCTAGTACTTCACTGACCTGCCCAGTTCGGCAGTTTGGGGATGATTTCCCCCCCAACCTAAGCATCCATGGTGATGTCATTTATCCAGATGGATTCATGGATTTTCACCGGTTTCCATCGAAATGTTCGACAAAATGATTCTCACTATGATATGAATAACTATTATCAAGTTAATACTACGACCAGTACTATGTACATATAAGTATACATATATACATGATTAAATTATATATATAATGTGGCGTACATCTTTGATTATACATATATACATGTATAACCAGCTATACATGGTTATACCCTGATTCTTCTTAATTCTTGGTATTCACCCCGGATTTCCGCAGAAACTTTAAGCGTCACCTCCACACAAGCGCTACAGCGGCGCTTCTCTGGCGGTTTCGTCCGCCTGGGATGTGAAGTGGGGCTCGCGGATGATCTCCAAGTGGTCTCCTTATGCTTTCCCCGATAAACTTTGATAAAGGATGATAAACAACATGTTTCTCAAGACCCAAGAACATCAACCAAATCTAAACCATCAATTGAAGTCTGGCTTAAAACTGCCACAGCTGGGAAGAATCTGGAAACATCGATGAAAACGTTCAAAGAACACATCTCGGATTAGCCTCTCGGATCGAATCCATCACTTTTGCCGCTGATGTCTTCATTTCTAGATTCATCTAGATTCTAGATTCTATATGGTGGTTTTCTAAAATGGAGGTAGCCCAAAATGGATGGTTCATAATATAATGGAAAATCCTCTTAAAATAGATGTATATTCTAGAAAACCTCCATATTTCTGTTGAGTCGGGCCATGGGTTCCACTTCTTCCAAGCGGCATCTTTCGTGAGAAGCTAGAGCCCGGCAAGATCTCCTGAAAACCATGGGATTTTTGGCGTTCCCAATTTTCAGACAAAGCTATATCAATATCATATATGTACAGTATATAATATATATTATTGGATGTGTATAATATGAAATATTTGGATGTTTCCATGGTTCTGGCCCACAGCGAACTAGTGCGCTGAGGTTTTTTGATTTAGCTTGGCATTCCTTTGGATCTGAAGCTGTGAGGAAAGGGTATCACATCATGGTTTCATGCAGCTACTGAAGGTGTAGATCAAGCCACCGCATGCCATGCCTGCAACTGATGCGGTACTGCAGTTCGCATCTTCTTCACTTTGGTTGGAGCATGAAAGAACATTTGAAGGATGTGAGCGCATGATGACCTGTAATGCTGGGAGCTCTGTTGGCGTGGGCTCATCAGCTTGATTTGTTTTAACTATATTGCCAGCAGAGATGAAATGCAGAGGAACAGTTACCTCTTTTTCATGGTACCCAACCCGCATCACTTGCATGACCAAGAGTCACGGGGATATTTCTTGTTGTGAATCATTTGCAATCTAACTAGATGGACACATGCATTAATATGTTCAAATGCCACATGCACTCATCATACCAGTCCATCCCAGGCAACTTTCATCCCAGTAGTACTGGGACTGCTCCTGACAGCTGGTACAAAAATCTCTGCTCCCCAAAGTCTCAAAGGTCATCTTCACTGGCAGCTCCGCCGCCTGCAGATTTTAAGGGGTAACTCTGGGGCCCATCGGAGAGCAGCGCCATGGCCGTGGGACGTGTTTATGGTCGTCGAAGGAAGAATCTAGGGTAGCATTGTGGGGTACGTCTGCACTGGACTGGTTGCGAAGAAAGGCACTGGTTGGTCGGTTTCTCAAGAACGAAAACACCCTGATCCCGGGTGGATTTGGGTTTCAACACATCTCACCACCCCAATTGGAGAGCAACTGGATAGAAACCATGGTCAACATCACTTTAAAAATCCGCCATTTTGGATTATGTTGGATACTTAAAATGCATTTTTTCATCCATGGACAGCGCCTTCAACCGGCTCTGCCACTCCGGCAGGTCAGCACCTTCTTCCGCACGGTCGATGGCTACCAGGCGCCAGCCGGGGCGAACGCCAGCCTGGCGCTTCAGGAGCTTTAAAGAAATGTGTGTATATATGAGTCATATATATATATATGTGTATATATAATAATATATATATATATGTATATATAATTATATATATGTGTATATATATATGTATATATAATTATATATATATATGTGTGTATATATATGTGTATATATAATTATATATATGTATATGTATATATATATGTGTATGTATATGTATATATAATTATATATGTATATATATATGTATATATATATGTGTATATATAATTATATATAATTATATATATATATGTATATGTATATATATATGTATATATATGTATATATAATTATATATATATATATGTGTATATATAATTTTATATGTATATGTATATATATGTGTATATATAATTATATAAATGTGTATATATATATATGTATATATAATTATATATATATATATATGTGTATATATATGTATATATAATTATATATATGTATATATGTGTATATATAATTATATATATATGTATGTATATATATATGTATATATATATATATAATTATATAAATGTGTATATATATATATATGTATATATAATTATATATATATGTATATATAAGCATTCAAAACATTGTAAAATAGGTTAAATGGATTTAAACAGGTATAATTGTATATGTCACTAAATGATTCTTCATAAACAGAAGTTCACAAAACAAAAAACATATAAGCAACTTATAAGCATGCAATAATCAGTACTATCTCCTGTGCATGTCATAAGAACGTATGTGTGCATGAAAGGAATAAAACACATGCGCCATAAGATCCATATGTGCCACATTTCATCCACAAATATCTGTACGTTCACATGTGATTGGCTAACCTTCCACTAGAGTCCAGTACTACACCATTTTGTACTGTACCCTGCTGTACTGTGCGGTAACTGTAACCACACTACAATACATGTATATATGCACACACTTTATCCAGTCTATTTCTTCTGCACCGTGCGACCCTACACTTTAGCAGGAAGCAGAAACATCCTCAAAATGATGTTACAATAAATATGTTGTCGTTGAAAAACAGTGCGGCACTGTGTCACGTGGGAACATGCCCCCAAGTCGCTGGCATCTCACATATAGACTGATATATATATATATATAGACCGATAGATCTTTCACAGAGATGGGTGCTCACAGTTTCACTGACATATTCCATCATATTTCATATTTGAACAACGTTTATAATGACACTGACAGTTTGAGTGTATTGTGTACCGAAGTACCGAAGGTCTACTGACAGAAAGTTTTGGGCTTGGCAGATCAAAAGTCGGTGCACAAGTGAACAGTGAACTCTCCTTCCATGGCTTACACCAAACAGACGTGACAAATGTTCAACTTATTGATTGACATACTGTATTTTATATTCACATCTTATACAGGCACTGAGATATATACCGACATGTTTGAATATCACGTTATTGTTTGTGATATTTCTTGGTCCCGTCTATCCCATTATATCCCCTTTGCATTCCCATAATATAGCCATTATTAACCACCATTACTACTGTAGCTATTATTAATCATTCTAACAACGATTTTTACAATTATATCAAGTATTAACCATTATTCACCAGTATTAACCATTATTAACCATTATTAAACATTATTAACCACTACTAAGCATTGTTTGATTACTGAAGGGCACATGATATTCCTATCCCGGTGAAGCCCAAGATCTCGACCTTTGCAGCAGGTTTCCCTTCGGAAGCTTTCAGCACCACATAGCCAGGACCTGTGCAAAACGGCAGGGACTTGGCCGGCCTCTGGAACCGGTGGCTCAACGATTGGTTCATGTAGTGGTGAATGTAATGGTCAATAGCATAACGTTAGTGTGGTGGTTGATTTATATATAATATATAATGGTTAAATATGTTAAATATATGTTAAAATCTATGTTAAATATGGTGAATACAATGGTGAATACAGTGATTAATACCACGGTCAATAGAATGGCGAATATAATGGTTAGTTAATACAATGGTTATTACAATGGTTAATACAATGGTCAAAATATCATTGTCAATCTAATATAGTGGTTAAGTAATACCGGCTATTTTATGGGAATATGAAGCAAACCATGATTTTTACCATGAAATTTAAGTGCCTCTCCAAGTGGTTCCTTCGATTTTCCACAGGCTGAAACAAGCAATTCCAAGGTTCTGAAACGCTGCCAGCTATGATCCACAGTTGGGTTTTTTCAAGACCCAACTCCCAAGTCCTCAGCGCCTTTGCTGGACGGTGTCAAACCAAAGGGTCGAGAAGACAAAGTCACCTGACAAAATATTGACCGCGAGCTGATGGTGTGCACCCCGAGCTGATGAACCCATCAAAAACAGACAGAATATCTGAATCCGAATGCACATTGTCTGATTGCGATCGGGTATATCACAAGCTCCGAGTTCTGGCAAACACCCCAATCTCTTGGACTTTTCTGGCATGTCTAACTAGCAAATTCTTGACTGTGTAGTTTGGACCTTTACCCAGCCCCCTGAAAGCCCTTCTCGCTGTCAGCTCAACCCAGCTGTCTTGCAACCCAGCTGTTCAAACACCTGTTTTCAGTTGGAATGATAGACTGTTCACACCAATCGCACTTGAAATGACTGAACGTTCATATGTATATATATATATAATTTATATATATATATATATGTATATGTAATTATATATATTCGAATCAATCTCATCTGCATCCATTTCATAGTCACATTAGGGTGTTTGGGTCCTCACTTTCATCTTGCTATGGGTCAAAACCAATGGCACCCCCAGAAAAGGTGAGTTCAGATCCTAAAAATCACAAATTGGATGTCGATTTTGGTACCCCAATTTCGACACACCTTCCATCTCACAATGCCGAAATAGAGGCCGCATTTCATCCCATGGTTGATCAACATGCTCCCAGCAAAACTTGCCCTATATTGGCTGATATAGACCCAGATCATACTGTTGATATCCCAGTAAAATTATATATCCCATCATATCCTAGATTGTATGCCCATGAGCTCATCATAAGGAACATAGTATACTGAACATATACTGAACATATACTGAACATATACTGAACATGCTCATTTTGCAGGGCATGCGCCGACCCCCCCAATCACTGGACCCATTTCTGGCCTCCACCTGCTCTCCCGCCACGTCCGGTTCCGCTTCGGCGTCGGCGTTCCCTGCGTTCCCTGCGCGTCGCGCTGCGGCGTCCGCTTGCGCTTGCCGCTCCTGCCGGAGACATTGATGGGAAATAAAGATGGGAAGTGAGAAAGAACAATCCCATAGGATCCATGTATGGTATATATGCTAACATTGGAGGTATATTGATGGTAAATGTTACCATATATAGCATACATGGATCCTATGGGAATGGAAAATCATGGGGACGAAATTGGACATTTCGGCGGTATTAAGGCGGTATTGGGAGACATGGATTTGGTTTATGGCGCATGTAAGATAGAAAAGGAATGGAGGTAGGGTTGGGGAAAGATGCTGCAAACGACCAAAACAATGGACCCTTCAACCAAATATTAAATGAACTACGCAGAACTGCAACTATCCAGACCTGAGGGGTGCATAGGAGTTGATTCGAAGCTAGCAGCTATAGAACCAGTTTCGAACCACGATTGTGAATTAGTTCTACTGGCTGGCTAAGAACAATTCCCACACTTGGATCCTGATATTTCCTTAAGTCTAATTAGATCTAATTAGTATGTAGCGCAACGCCATTTTACTATCATAACCAACAGGCGTTGGTTAAACCACCGGGATGTGAAACTGTAAGCCGGGCTTGCGATGCCATGCTCCCCACCCAGATCTGAGGCAGACCTTGTCCTCCGTGCAGCGTTTGCACACCTGGTCATGACGGTGATGAGCAAGGCGACCAGCGACCAGTGGCTAGATGGGTCAGTACAGTACCAGTATGTACCAGTCATATCAGTGCAATGGGCCCGTTTTGAATGCATTGATTTATTGAACTGTCTTTGAATGACTCGTTGCATTCCATCTTGCAGATATGAGGTCAGAATTGTACCTGAGAATACCCGAGAGATACGTGGCCACTGCATACCAAGATGATGGAGGATGGCTGAAGGACCAGTAAATAATATTCAAGCTTCCAAGAGGTCGACCAACAAAACAGTTTCAGATCGTGATCCATGCTCCAAATTTATCACGTCATTCTCAGGATACTATATATTGGGTCTGGCATGGTCTGGCCCATTGTCTGTAACAGCTTTCACAAGCTAGAGCACGATTCTTGCACAGAGAGGAACACCAAAGAGCAAGATCTAGAGCACGATTCTTGCACAGAGGGGAACACCAAAGAGCACGATCTAGAGCACGATTTTTGCACGGAGGGGAATACCAAAGAGCACGATCTAGAGCACGATTTTTGCACGGAGGAGAACATCAAAGAGCACGATCTAGAGCACGATTTTTGCACGGAGGGGAATACCAAAGAGCACGATCTAGAGCACGATTTTTGCACGGAGGAGAACATCAAAGAGCACGATCTAGAGCACGATTTTTGCACGGAGGGGAATACCAAAGAGCACGATCTAGAGCACGATTTTTGCACGGAGGAGAACATCAAAGAGCACGATCTAGAGCACGATTTTTGCACGGAGGGGAATACCAAAGAGCACGATCTAGAGCACGATTTTTGCACGGAGGAGAACATCAAAGAGCACGATCTAGAGCACAATTTTTGCACGAAAGAACATGGGAAAATGAATGAATTTCCTTGTGCTCCTTTTGAAGAGGTTTTCATAGGAAATCAATTTTCCGACTGTTACAGAGGTTAGGCTACACTCAAACTATATATAACATCATGAATCATGATGGTCATGTCTAAACCGAAGCAGGTTCTATATTTCCTTCTTGATAATATCAGCTTATGTCAGAAACACTAGATCACCTCAAAAAATGTGGAAACATCATTCCTGCCACGATCCCGTCGGTAAATGCCACTTGCAAGATGCACATCCCAAGGTTTCAAAGTTGAAAACCTGATTTTCTCATATTTTCTCCATTTACTAGTCCAACCATGGATGGTTTTTCAGTAAGATCATAGGTCGTTACATATGTGTCGCTACTTTTCCGATCGATCCCCTGATCGATATGTCAAACAAGTTGGGAATTCCATCAGCAACCGCTTCCTCAGATGTATTTGTGGGTAAATCTTTAGGTAAACCGCCTCAAATAAAGATGATTATTAAATATCTGGGCAAATTATAATAATTCACTAATCTGAATATCTGGGCCATTTGGGGACGATTCCCCTTACTAACCATGATTTCCAGTGAGGTCGTAGTGAGGTCGTTATAATTTACCCAGAAATATATTAAATGCTAACCTGAAAATGGTGAACGCAATTTCATTCACAGACTGGGTTTACCTCCGCAACCGCTTCCCACAGATCTGGGCTGCAGGGCCCCAGAGAGGTACAGCACCGTCTGAATCTCGGGTCCGGTGCGGATGTCCTGCCCACCCATGTGGAGTCAAATTTTGTGGCACCAAAAAACACTGCGCTGTTTCTTGTGTGTTGTTCTTTTCAGCATGAATATATATGAATATGACAACTGTGTGTTTTCTTAAATGAACATCTATGTTGAGGGCTTAAGGGCCAGAAAAGCACGAATGGAACAGGAATGGGCCTGGTCCATTGCTTTTGGGGGGTACCTGAGCTTGACCCACACCGAACCCAGATTAGGACATGACTCGACCTGCTTGATGGGCTACCAATGTACCGGCAACTGCTTGCTCATGCCCAGCTGTGTTTTTCATCCAATTTGTAGGGTTCAATCATAGCCCTGGTATATAATAAGATATATATATATATATGATATATATATATATGATATACATATATATATATATGATATATATATATATATATGATATACATATATATATATATCATAATATATATATGAGATATATATATATGATATATATATATATGATATATATATATATGATATATATATATATATGATATATATATATATATGATATATATATATATATATGATATATATATATATATGATATATATATTATGATATATATATATGATATATATATATATATTATGATATATATATATATATGTATGTTATAAGTTATAATATATATATATACATATATGCTAGGGTCTATGGACTGTGGTTTATTGTCATCCATTCATCCATCAGAATCCATATAATGGCTGTAAGAATCCCTGTCAATGGATGGATGACCATTCTCTATGGGAAACCAACCCATGTTTTGACCGATCGAACCATAGTGGTTTGAATGAAAACAAAACCTGGTGAGCCTGAGCCTGGTGGTCCCATCGATCTCTCCTTGTCAGCAATGTTCCTCAAGGAGTCCAGTGCACGTTCAACCTAGCCAAATGCGGCTCCAAGTTCGTGCTGAAGATATGCTGCTGAAGATGTCAATAGAAAATAACGAATGCATGGAAAAACATAGAGCCTCCGATAGTTCCAAGCGAGGTGGCTACAATGTCCAAAGGCTATCGACGTCATGGTCCAACTATTCCAGTAGATACGATCAAAGCACCTACTGAACATTGTTCGCTCTCCATGTTTGATTGCAACATACTATGCTCCATGATATGTGAGTTAATGATGATCAAGGCTCCCGATTCTTTTAATACTTCCAGTCCTGGCGAGAAATGTCTAGACCTCATTTACTCCTCTGAGGCTAAACTGAAAGACTTCTCAAATAAGTCAACCCTTAGTTGGATATAGAACATTCTTTCATGAACATGGCTGGAGATGAATGCATTGACCTCCTTTTTTCTGAGCTCGACCAACTTTGTTGCCACTTCTTGCTGATTCAATCATGTGAAACCACCCCAGCAGCGCCTGCTTCTTGGAAAACTCCGAGGCCGGAAGCCGCTTCCGTTGGCACGGTCCAAGGCAGTGGAAGTCACCTGCCTCGAATCGCGAGTTGAAATTCTTTGCCACCAAACTCCGTGGATGGATCAGCAGGAAAAACACTTATATAAATCATATGGAAATCATATGAAAATCATATGGAAATCATATGAAATCCTTTTATAATCCATTCATAATCCAATGAACTCTGTTTGTAGCTCCTGGGCTCTCATTTGTTCCGCGAATACGGGAAAAGTCAAACCAAGCTCCGCTCGGCGCCCGACGCTGCGCTGCCAATCCGTGTTCAGCTCTTCTGCTTTGGCCTAAGGAAGCTGACTTCTTGGGGAAGAGGATTTTGCTCCAAAATTGGATACCATTTTGAACACCAACAGTTGGGTAGGGTACGGGGTTCCTAAAATGGTGGATCCAAGTCCCCAGGGGTTTCAATACTATAGTTTGGTCCAATAACTTAAAGATGATTTGGGGTACACCCATGACTTCGGAAACCCCACATGAAGAATTGGAGCTGTCCGAAGTCATGGTACCTCAATATCATCCAAACCATGTCCGGAAACAGGGCCAATTCTGGGTGCAAAGATCAAACTCAAGTCAGCCTGGAGCGTAATATGATACAATACAATGATAATGATATATATATATACATATAATGGTATATATATAATATAATATATATATATATATGTATAGTATAATATAAATAATAAAATATAAATGATATAATATATATAATAATATATAATATATATAATAATATATAATATATATAATAATATATATAATATATATAATTAATAATATATATATATATTTAATAATATATATAATAACAAATATATATATATAATAATATATTATAATATATATAATAGTATATATAATAATATATATACTAATATATATAATAAAATATATATATAATTAGAATATATAGATACTATATATATAACATTATATATAACATATAATATATAATATAATAAAACATAATATATATATAATATAATATAATAAAACATAATATATATATAATATAATATAATATATACAATAATATATAATACAATAATATATAATACATATATATATAATATAATATAATATACTATAATATAATATAATATGATATAACAAAATATAATATAATATAATATAATAACATATAATATATTATAGTATATAATATAATATAATCTAAAATCATATAATATAATAATATAATAATATAATATAATATATATAATATACTATACTATAATATAATATAATATAATGTATATATAATATAATATAATATAATATATAATATAAAATAAACATATATATGATATGATATATGATATATATAATATAATAATATAATATATATATATAATATAATCTAAATATATATATATAGTATAAAATATATATAATAGACATATTATAATATATCACAGATAAACAATAATATATATATATATAATATAATAATCCCAAGTGTGGGCCGATTTCCACCATGAACAACCTCAGTTTGGTAGGTGCCACTTGAAGGGCAGATAAGCGCAGCTTTGCTCCCCAGCCATCACAGCCGGCAATCACATCAAACTAGAAGCAACTGAGCGGCTAGAATGGAACATCTAAATAGCGGTATGATTTGTAGCCTACGTTGGCCTCAAGCTCCGATCTGTTGTCAAAATACGATGCATCAAATTGAGATCCAGTGTGGCTGCAACCCGGGTTTTCTATGGGACAGTTTGTCAACAAACTTGCACTGCGGCCAAACCCCACTGCAGGGTTTTTTGTTTCTTTGTTGATAAGCAGGTATACCAGGTACTCACCTGACTCGTTGATCCAACATGATCCACATTATCCAACAGGTCCACTCAATAGTGACATGATATCGCCCATGGCTTTGAACAGCTGCGGTTTGGAGACCATGAACAACCGAAAACCACGACCTGGCCACCTCTGAGAAACATTGGGAAATGGAGGTGTCCTAAAAAGGTTGACCTGATGGGTATACCTTTGAAACCTTTGAACCTATAACTTTCCATATTTTTTTTTCGGATGAACATCCATAAATGGAGGTTTCCTAAGTCATGGGGGTACCCCAAATCAGCCAAGTCATTAGACCAAACTATAGTATTGAACATATTGAACCAATCATGGTGACATGGGGATCCCCAATTTTATGAACCCCCAACAAATAATACCTGGGGAATCCTTCGGATATATGATATATGAGTCATATGAGTGTCTCTGCTGAATTTGGTGGGAAGATAAAAACAACGGTGTGTCAGTATATGCAGCAAATGGCCTTGCCGCACCAAATCGCACCATTTCAGCAGCCTATTCATTAACTATCATCCGCCAGCGCCATGCTTGTGCGCAGCGAATTCAAGGCTCGCGGTTCAATGGGGTCACACCTATAGACTGTTTATCATTGATCATCCTCCTTTCTGGGTCTGCTTCAGTGCTGTAAATTGAACCATTGCATGTCCACCACGAGCAGAGCTGTAAAAAAGTCGGCTTGCAAAGTGCCTTTGGTCTTCTCGCCACGCCACATCAATACTCCATGGAGTCTTCAAACAACTTTAGTACTGGTACAAACAACTGGCCAATGAAGCAACAAACAACCAGTACAACCTACAGTACAACCTACAGTACAACCTGCCTGGGGGCGCAATGTGAAAACCAAAGTGTACATGCCGAATTATTGCACATCAAAGAACTTCCTTGCAAATCTTCTGCCTGGCGAGGACTAACAAGTCAACCGTATCCTTGAAGGAGTGGGGGACGTTGGATTTCCAATCCAGGTACTGTTTGGATCTGTTTGGTAAATCCACAGAACTGAAATGAAACATGGCAGATGTTTCATCAACATTGGGATCCATGGCCATTCCGAAGTCGTGTCACCGGATGATCCAATTGTGAAAGTTGGTCACAGAAAAATGAGGGGTTCTACGAACCTCCGCAACAAAAACAAACTCCTTTAAGGTATTTTTTCGGCCCCGCTGGCAAACAAAATCCGTTCGCGGCAGGCACATTCCCTTTGCTATTGGTAGTATAGTTGTCTTGATTGGTTATCATGGGTGATATTCACACGTGTTTTTGTTTGTTAAATCGACTCTTTAAACCACTTCACCCATTGGTCCACTGTCTTTTCCACACGGCCAACTCCACAAAATCGTGATTGTTTCTTAGGATGATGCTTTCATATATTCCTCCATTTCTGTAATATAATTACTTACGTACGTTCCTCCATCAGAATGGCAACACTTCAACATACTTCAGCCATCAGCCTACTCTTCACAAGTCACTTTCCCAATTTGTCTGGTACCATCAAATCATCAAGTTGATGAGGGATGTTTCAAGCATAGCCTTTGGCAAATCAATATAAGACGAGGTGGCACGAAAATTCCTCATGAATCGTAGATGAGCTGTTCAATGATTCATCATGTCGAACATGGGAATATCCAGCCACGTGGTAATGAATTCCTGCAACAATGATCGCATTCCTCGCTGGGTCATCCGCCATACCTACCTACTTGGGTTGAATTCCATTCTTTAATTCGCGGGGGAATTTCATTCTTCCTGGAGATGCAACAGTTCGTTGAATGATGCCCAAGTTAACCCAAGCATGCAAACACCACATCATGCAGTTAGAATTTCGTAGAATTTCTACGTAGTCCCCCGCAAGTGGGCAAGTTAGTTGTAGATCGGTTTCGAAACTGACCCGGGACTGACCCACTTGGTTTGGAATTCAATGTGGCAACCCAACTTGAGGTATCTAAATCCAAGTGTTACCACATGTGAGGGTCTGTCTCACAATTTGGGGCCAAATTCCATACCATGGTTGCCTTCATTTCCCCCATCGGCACTTCAATTTTCCGGTGCCTATCCATCATTTTGAGGCAAACCTGCTGGATGGATTCTTCTCCAGCCACTTAGACTTGTATCTGAATTTATGAAACCCCGCATATACCCAGATACTCGCCGGAAAATTGTCACAATTGTAGGTAAGGTGCTGTGAACCCCATTCACTACCCAGCGTATTCCGGCCGATGGGTAATTCATAATGCGTCCAATATGATCTGGTGCTTAGGGTTTCCCCATGTTTCCCCAGTACATAGTTTACAATGCTTCACCCCCCCGTTGTCTATCGTTGTTTTCTTGGACAAACCATTGTCAATATTAACCCCTGGCCGCCAGGGCCCCTGTCCGGCTCCAAAAGACCAATGTACCGCCTCAGTCTCCACACAACATTCGCAGCTGCCGCTCGTGCTCGTCATGGCGCTCCGCCAAGTCGCGCCTTTGGAGCGACCAGAACTACGGTATGGGGGAACCTCCACGTCTTCAGACCATGCAACAAACGGATACAAACGGGTCATGTTGGATGGGAACAAGGTCTGGCTCAGATATCAGACTTGGCCTTCCCAGTTGTCAGCAGCAAGCATTGAACACCATTGAGGTTGTTTGTCCGTTCCAGTTCTTGACCCCCATGAGCGTGGGTTACGTGTTCACTTTTAACTTCTTTAATCTGTGATTCCTGCTGTTTTGAATTTCCTGAGCATTGTTGGTCTGGATCCGAGTCAGATGTTCCCACCATACACTGCCATACACTCCCAGAAACAACATGTCCGGTGTTGTCATTGTAAGGTCAACTAGCATGAGCTTCTTTTAGCAAAATCACTTCCAAGGGGAAGATGCTTTCCAGGCTTTTGGGAAACAGCACATTTACGACATGTTGCCCACTGGTAATATTTAAACTACAAATTAAGATAGCTGTGGAAAATGGTCCATGTATAGATGCTCTGGCATGAAAAGCATGTGATTTTCCATAGCCAGGAGAAAAAACAACGGGGGTAGTTGTCGGGAAACATGTTTTTTTTGGTGCTTCCCTGCAACTCTTCTGAGTCGAAGAAGTGTTGACTCTTCCCAGACCCCGGAGAACTTCCGGAAAAGACTCGGCACATTTTCTAAGGATGCGTATATAATGGGATTTCACTAACATGTACAGCTGGGATATCAGTGTTTTTGGTGCGTTTTGCCAACATGTCCTGATTTTTGGGATTCTTCAACCCAGATGTTCCGAGCAGCCAACGTAACGTGCCCCCAATCCCCCAATAAAGAAAATGATGTACAAATGTAACGTTCAAGGACATGTTGCCAAACGGGCTCAATTTTTTTTGGCTTTTTGGGGGTCGAACTTCCAAACCAATTTTGATCAATTTTGTCTTGAGCAGAACAGCAGGTGTCATATGTAAAAGGAGGAAATCAACCTACGAGTACTGCAAGTTTTCTTCAAAAAAAATTGTGCACGTTCACAAACAGGGACTCAGCATATCAGAAAAATCGTACCAAATGAAACAATGTTCCGCTTTGCAAATAATGTCCGCAGGTTTGAAACAGGCTCTACATAAATCTGCAACCCATCAGAATGGCTGTGGAATGATGGGTGTCTATGAAATTCCGCCGCAGCCTCGAAACTTTGAGTCTCCCGACATCTCAGGGCTAACATCACCTGAAATCCAGTCACAATCTTCAGGCTTTCACGGGACCAAGGGTGCTTCAAGTTATGACGGTGCCTTAAAATTTAAAGGTAAAGCCCCAACATGGTCACATCCAAACCATCACCCTCCAAATTCCATTCTTGTTCGTTTTCCATGCCACCTTCCTGGTGGGGAGCAAGGATAAAAACTCGACACTCCAACCTTGTTCAGAATGAAACGATCTAAAATTCATCTAACCTACCCTGAGGGTAAGTCTCGTTGGATTTCTCTTTTACTGGCGTTGCAGTTCTTGTCAGATTTCCATTCAACAGCCTCGAATGGGTTTTTGGCACATGGATCTCGAGTATCAATTTGAAGACAACTTTCTGGTGACCCTCTCATCACTCTAGAGCGACGGACTGAAAACTTAGAATGTTTTCACGGAGCAATTGATGTGGTCACATTCTAAGTTATGTACGTGTTCATTTTGGAAAATACTGGTCCATTCTAAATTGCAGTCCGTCGCTATAATTTATGCAAACATCTTGATTGTTTTGTTTTGAGCGGGCCATTTCCAAATACTGTTCAAGTATATACTGTCTCGATCCGTATTGTATGTATAATTAACTCATACTGTATCATATACAGTAAGATATATTAATATCACAATATTAGTTGATCTCTCCTATGTGCCCATGCTGGTTGAGCTGGCTATATCTTTGGGTATGCTGCGTTGAAAATCAGGACAGCAAATTCTTGAGAAGCACTTGAATATCCCGGCAAGTTTGACTTTTTCGTTTGAACGTCTGACATCATAAATGAAAAAAAATAACGAAAAAAAAGTGGAGAACATGCCATACCTACCATACATACCATACATGCCATACCATTTGAGCTTTCAAGACCAGGGCCCATTCTGGGCCCATTCTGAGAACATGCCAACGTCATGGGCTTCCCAACGCCAGCGCCGAGGCCTTGGGGTCTTGAACTTTGGGTCAACAAAAATCATCCAAGGCCCATGGCATCCGACTTTTTTCATACAAATCATTCAGAAGTAGGGTTGGAAGAAAATGAGCTTGGGATAATTTCACGTTAAGACCATCTGGTATGAGTAATTCAGATACTATTATATATATATATATTTATGTGTAGACTATGTATATATATATAACTATATGTATCTGTATGTTGGCAACTCCCAATATGTTTCCTCAGACTTTCTACACCACAGATCGGTGTCCTCTGGGCATCCGACGAGGTATACGTTGCCTCATGCTCGTGGGTCAAAACAAATTATCAGGTTGTCCCGAACTGTCTGCCACTTGGTCGAAAAAAAACGTTATTTTTAGTGTCAACATGTATTTACAGAATCCGAATGTTGGGGGATGTCGTAACGATGAGCCATTGCCACTTTGGATCGTTGAATGCAAATCTTTCTGGAACCCGCGAAACTCCGAACGGCATAGTTCCCATGTTTCCATTTTTGAAATAGAACGGGAAATGTGCATTTTGAGATAGCTGTAGGTATGGATGAATTTTTACATAAGACCGGAGGCCATATATTCTGTCACACAGTGATTCGTTTACATACATACATGCAAACATACATACAGACATACATACATTCCATTCCGTTCCGTTCCATACCAGACCATAACATGCCATACCATACCATACTTTACCATACCATACCATACGAGTACCATACATGCATATACATGCTATACATACCATACCTACCATACATACCATTGCAATATTACATGACATGACATGGCATGAAATGACATGGCAGGCATCGCATTGCACTACACACATATCATACGTAAATACATGCATCCGTGCATCCATGCATCCATACACGCAGCCATTTCCATCCCAATCCATATCCAAGTATTTTCGCAAGATTAGAGGGTTAAGTCCGGGTTAAGTACATTTAAGCACCTTCTCAGGAAATGTTTGAATCCGTCAGGTTATACACATGTATATTATATATATATTATATATATAATCACGAGGATAATCCCCACTGTTGATGGTGCAAATCCTACTATACCATTCTGAACCCACTGTTGATGGTGCCTGATTCACAAGGTCACTCTGAAATTTGGTTTATAGGTGGCATGCCGTGGCCGCTGGGCTGACGGACGTGTTCGGCCAAGCGCAGCTCGAAGAAACGCTTGTTCTCCTCGCACCTGAGACTTGGGAATGGGCAGTTTTGATATCTCTGATGTCGCTGGGAGCCCTGAGTCATACATATGTATATATATGTATATATACACACGTAAGTGTGTGTGTGTGTGCGCGTGTGTGTGTGTGTGTCTGTACGAGGCCAGAATCTTTGAATTTTAGGGTGCCAAAGTGGGGCCTGGCTTGCTTTCAACCTTGCGCAGCTAGGTGGCCACTCTTGTAAGAAAGTTTAACATGACATTGGGTCTCCACTGCGCATACACTAGCGGGACGGCTGGAGTGGACACCACTAGGAACTGGCAGTTTGTTGCGTTGCCAAATCTCCTAGTGTTTCTGCAAGGTGTGGCGCATGCCAAGATTCAGGGATGCAGCACTGACAACGCCCCAGAATACACGCGAAAAATGAAGCTCTTTGATTGCAATGAAAAGCGTTGTACGGTCGCATTTACGCTTCACGCGTGGAAGGCTTGTATGAAAGCTCTTCTGGGATGCTCTTGGGAGGTTATTGTATCAAGATCGTGTCGTATCCTCGCCAGCACCAGTGCAGGTCCTTCTATGACGATCTTGCGGGATTGCATCAAGACCTTGCATGATCTTGTACAGGTCCTTGTGAGAAGATCTTGTGGAGATCCTGTTGAAATCCTCCTCAAGAGGTCCTTGCATCAATGAATCAAGATCTTGACGATGCTCTGAGTTGGTGTTTCATACTGAAACTTCTTCTGGGATGCTCATAGGAAGTTCTTGTATGAAGATCTCGTGAGATGGTCTATATATAGAAGGTCCTTCTTTGACGATCCTTTGAAATTTTCTTAGGTGTCCTGGTATGAGGTTCTGGTATGAGGTCCTGATGAGTAGACATACGTAGCGTTGCTTCTTGTGCCAAAACAAGTTCCGGCTGCTGCAGTTACGATAGTGTCTAACCTGATCTGTTACTGTTCCATACCTACTGTGGCTTGTAATTATCTGGTACATTGACTTCCTACCCCCCACACTGTTTGGGGTCTCTTGCCGGTGTATGTTTTATAGTGTATAATGATAATTGTGCTGTTTTACAATCTATGAATTGTACATAGATTTGGATGATGTCGTGGAAATCCTGATTGAGGGCCACGGTTTCTGAATGCCAGGCATCACTTAATGCTCCTTTGACAAGGCAACTTCCACAGGATGTAATTTGCGCATGATAAATATGGTCAGTCAGTAGTTATATATTAAACAATCCCAACTTTGCTCCTAAACGACCAAGTTCTGCTGATGATATTGGATTTGAGCAATGCCTGTCTTATTGGTATAATCCCTTGGTACTTGCTTGCTTTACAAGGCTTCCCATCATGGCTTATAGCCTCCGGTACTCAAACATTGCAATGGAAACTCACCCATTTATAGATGAATTTCCATTAAACCTCCATTTCTAGGGGATTTTCCAGCAAGCCACGTTTGATTACTGTAAGGGTCATATTTTAATCCCTATCATCTAAGTAGCCAGTACAACCCCTGAGGCCTACACACCCGCACTGCAACCGCCTTCTCTGACTGAAGCTGAGCCACCTGTGACTCAGCGGAGGGAGGATTGGGTGAGCTGAAAATCAGGGCTATTTGTTGCTTCAAGCCATCCCAAAGACTCCGAAATTGGATGAAATTCAGATAATCTCAAGAGTTTTTCTTGTGGAACCTGTTGACATTGAAAAGATCTGAAACAGCAACTGGACATTATGATGTGTGGACACAGGTTCAATGATTTTTTAGACCTACATGCCCCCTGGCCAAGACCGGTGTCGCGGTCACAGCCGCGAATCAATGGTAAATCAGAGATGTCAAGGCCTTGGTATCCTCGTATGGTCGAACTCCTCCATGCTATTCTTGGTGATGGTTTTCGATGGGCCAAAGGGGGAGCTGTTAATAAACGTCCAGAAACCTCCCCAGGTTACACCCCAGGTGACGACCACACCTGTTTGGCCAAGTCTTTGTACTTCCCTTGCTTTTCTTGGAGCTGCGTCTTTGCCTGAGCCGCTGCGGTGGGATCATTCTCCCATCCCTTAGATGTTCATCATGCAAGTTCTGTTGGGCAGGCAATATCCCATTTGAGCAGTGGCTGCCAAACCCCTGGTTGGGGATCAGGCTCCATTAGGACCATCCCTATCAACATAAAAGGGTTCCGGCGCCTTCGACAAGGATCGTTTGTGTTTGGAGGTCAGAACCTGCAGGTGCCTCAGTCAGCCATGGGAAAATCCAAGCTTTTCGCCAGAGATTAACACTGCAGGATAAGCTCAGATTAACCCTCTTACTAAGTATGAATCTAAGTTTCATACATGTTTATCACATTTGGATATTTTATAACCATCTGGCTTTGTCCGAAAATAGGGTGCCCCCTTCCATTCCATGATGGTGAAACGGTGAAACTCTCACTTTAATCATATCGGTGTTGCAAAAGGCTTTGCGATTTGAGAGTGCTGTAAAGGTCCTCAAAAACCCGCTGTCCAAACTCCCTGGTTTCCCCTTTGTACGCAATCTCGCTTTCCTCCACATAGAACAATGGTGGGGATTTGATCCCTTCTTGAAGATCTTCAATCAGTGTAATCATTGAACATGTGGATCAAGTTGGGACCAGGTGTAAGTTGTGCAATTTAGAGTTTGGGCGAACGGCGGCGCCTGAGCCTGGCCTTAGTCCCCCAATTTTTAGAAGACCTTCTCCAAAGGCATTCGAAGTTGGAGGGTCCATCAAATGTCGGAGAATCATATAATATATGGGGAATCAAAACAAGATCATAATCTGGTTGGTGGTGCAATAACCATCTTGAAAAATATGAAAGTCAATGGGAAGGATTATCCCAGAATCCCATATATTATGGAAAATGAAAAATGATGAAAAATGTTTGAAACCACCAACCAGTAATAGATTCTTAATAGATCATAACATATCATCCCGTGTTAAGGGATTAAACATATGTCTTAAAAATAACAACTAAAACATACTAAAACCATCTAAAACTAATCCAACCATTTCGAGCAACAAAAACGATCGTCTGGTCGAGCCCCCATGGTCTCCCCTCTCCCATCCTCTCCCACTGCTCCAAGCTGCTTCTTGTGATCTTCAGCCATAGCCTGCAGCCTCTTGGTGCAGGTCTCTTCTGCCTTTTCCAACGCTGTTTGCGCCTGCCGGCTGGCTATAATCAATTTGGACCATCAAGCGGCCAGAATACCCGTCTAGTCTTGTTTACAGCAATTAGAAGGGTTACTGCATCCAAACGACACATTAAAATCAAATAGTTTCAAAATAATAAAGATCAAGCTGAGAGCCACGAGCCTGCTCTTTCTTCTTCTGTGCACTTACAACTCGTTTCCCCAGCACGTGCATGAAATACTGCAATAATGTGTGACACTACGTAGTTTGTTAGATAATTACGTTCACATTGTTGGCAAATGACATCCGTCATTGGCAAGGGGGGAACATGCCATGTTTTCCACTCTGCGCTTAAACCACAATGACGTTGACTAAGGCCGATTAATGGAAACACTCATGGAACTATTCCCAATAATTGAAAGAACAAACTGCATGTTAAACGGATTTCTGCCATGAGTTTTTTTCTACGCTGTGATTCAAAAGTATCGGACTGGATGGTTTCAGATCCTATAAAAATAACCAGCAGCCAGGCGTGTACGCGCATCATGCTCCCATGTTTCTCGGCGATATCTTGCTGCACCGATTTTTTGATCCATGACTAATGAGTGAACTTGAAATAAAATCACCCACTAACAAAAATCAGCCAGGGTTGATTATCAATACAGTAGAGGTTCATCAATAGATGTCAAGTTGTGATCATCAATCATATCATCAAGGGTTGATGTGTGAGATCCTTCTATCAAAGTCGCATCAACTTGAAAGCGAGGCCTCATCGAGCTGCTTCCTCCAATCTCTCCGCTCCTGATCCTGCCTGGACAGCTGGGATGGGTCGTGAAGCCACAACATGTATATAAATCATCTGTACAGATCACATCGTACTTGACATGGAATCACGTGTAAGTCACGTGGAAAAACAACGACTATAATTTATAATATAATCATTAATTACAGTAAATGAAAAGACATGAGATCACAGCAAAAAAGTGACAAACATTGGGGGGCTGAATTCACTCATGACGACTCTCATGGTCAGCAGTTTTTCATGACCAAGTCACGCACACGAGGTCGGTTCGTGCCTTTCCATCATGTCCGCAACAGGGAGGAAACCCATTGGTTTTGAGTTTTGAGTTCACAAATTTTGGACATGCTGAAGCTTGGTAAGACATCATACACAGGTCTATAAGGTCTTGTTGGTTAAACAAGTAACATCCTTATCTCACCAAATCTCCCAATTAGCTCTTTCTGTCGCATCGGCTCCCAGATCCCAGATCTCGCAGCCGCGACCTTGAGCTCATGTTCAACACTTCATCTTTCAAGTCTTTGCAGTGAGATTCCTGAGACCAGGCACAGCAGGGATCGACTGGCCCACCAGCTTCCGTTGATCCTGACGCAAATCTTCAAAAGGTCCAAGAGTTGCATCCCACTTGGATAGATTTGTCTTATAGCATCTTATATCAAAATCTTATAGAATCTTATAGCATTGGTCTTAATCATATATCTTAATGTTAATCTTATATCATTTATCATATATCATATATCTTAGTCATATATCATTGGGGTCAACCAAATCCACCGGTTTTTGCCAGCGCCGGCGCCAAAGTGCGTAGCTGCGAAGCTTCTGGGCGTAGTCTTGCGCCAGCCGTGCCTGGCGAAAGTTTGCGAACGCCTCTGGTAGTGGGAAATACCCCATAAACAATTGGAAAATCATAGGAACATATGGCAAAAATCATGGAAAATCATACTGGAAAATCATAGGAACATCTGTGGAAAATCTGTGCATTTTTATGGAGGTCGCTGGGAAAATCCTCGAACTGCTGGTGGATGTTCCATGTTTGCCGGTCGGGCCACAGAGATGTTCCAAATGGTGGAATACCCCGGAAAAAATATGTGAATCACCTGCAGCAAATGTATAGCTTTCGGAAGGAATGCGAATCTACCGGTCTTAAATTGAATTATGCCCATTCTCAATCAGATTTCGATTCATATCTATTCCGGTTTGGGTTTGGGAAGTCCCGGCCCACTATTATTGGCATTGTGCAAAAAACTTAGAACACAATCTAAGTATATCTAAATGGCTGATCAAAGACCGATGGTTATTGAAATGTACAAAGTATGTACAAGTAGTACCCTCCGGATATCAAACATTGCAATGGAACATCCCCCATTGTATATCATTGTATAATATAATGTACATATATATATATGTGTTAACTTTCATAAATAAGATGGCGGGTTGTATTTGAGGTCTGTCCCCGGAAATAAGGTGCATGCAGTATGCAAAATGCATCAAATCAACTGTGCGGGGATCCTTGGCTGTTGCGCAACGAATTTCGAGACACGGCCTCGATTTCATGTTATTTTTGTCATTTTCTTTACTGATCTTTTCAATGTATTTTTGTTTTTTGCAGGCAGAAACACCGCCGGCTGCTCAACAAAATACATTCTATGAATCTTTAAGAAAGGCCCGCCGCAGGCGCCACTTTTCAGTGTTTGGATCGTCGCCAAAACGAATTGATACGAATTGATTCCATCAATTTGAAAACAATTTAAAAATACACGCTACACATTTAAACAAAAACAACATATTTATTTGTTTATTTATTTATTTCTTAGTTTGATGTTTATTTATTTATTTTTATTATTTTATTTTTATTCTCGTTGTTTTTTTCTAATGTTTATTTTTAATATGTATTTTTTGATTTATTTATTTTTCCTTGGAAATTCCTTAAATTCAAGTGCCGGCCTTGAATTTCAGGAATTTCGATTTTTTTCCATGATTATTTTTCAAAAACAAGATTGAAATTCAATGTTTTTTTTTGAAACATTCTAATGGGTTTTGCTTTTTCATGCTTTTTCCACGATGATGTTTGGAAAAAAAAACATTGAAGTTCAACCATTTTTTTGAAAAGTAATCGTGGAAAAAAGTCGAAATTCCTTAAATTCAAGGCCAGCCCTTGAATTGAAGGAATTTCCGCGGAAATAGGGGAAAACAAAATAACAACAATAAATAACAACAAAAATACTAATAAAAAAATAGTAAAAAAATAATTAAAAATAAAAAATACAAAAAATACCAAGAAAAAATAACAAATAAAAACATGGACACATTAAGTAAAAATACACAAGATATAAATGTGTATCAATAATCATTGTTTTTCAAGAAATAAAAAATATTGTCTGTTCGGAAAAAACGGTAATATATAAAAATGAAAAATTAAAACATTGAAACAAATGAATAAATGGAATATCAATATCCTTCAAAATCAAATGCATATTCGTAGTGTCTAGTTTTTAGATTGCTTTCAAATTGGTGGAAGCAATGTTCTTTGAGCGACAATCCAAATGCTCAAAAGTGGCGCCTGAGGCGGGCCTTTTTAAAGATTCATAGAAAAGATTTTTCGTTGGCAGGCGGCAGGCAAGGCTTCTGTCTGCAAAAAAATGTCAAAAAAAAATTAAACACCATACATGTAAAAACGAAATACCAAAAAAAATAAGCATGGACATGGTTAAACAAAATTTTCGAACAAAAGCGAACAGACTTGAATAATTAAAGAATGTATATAGATTATTTCCATTTTCATGCCCAACAACAACAGCGCTGCTGCTGTGTGGAGCAAGTCCAAAGAGCTGTTGTAAGATGTTGTAAGTATACGTAAGTATTTGTTTTGGATGATTTCTTTAGGTGCCTGCATTTCATTCTTTATGCCTCCTGTTATTTTCTGCGCATACTTTATTTTGACCTACGCTTTGAACATCTACTAGTTTGTCACCCACATTCTTCACAAAATGAGTCATGTGGATGGCTGCAGTTACCTGATTCAATGCAATTTGCTCAAAACCCTTTCAAACTGGATTTCAATCCCAAACAATTGGTTTGCACATATCCTAAACCTTATTTCCGTGTAATTCACGTATTTCCTTGAATTATGAAAGTTTACACATATATATATGTTTTATATATCTATAAGACTATATATATATATTATATTATATATATTATATATTATATATATTATTATATTATATATATATTATATTATACATATATATATATATCATAAATTGAACATGTTCATCAACATGTCTATTCCATATTTTGGATACGTATGGATATGTTGGCTTTGCGCCCGCAGCATCCGTCAGATTTCAGACCCTCAAAATTGTGTATCGTGCTCTATCTGACTTTCCAACCCAATTGATGATTTGGAATTTCAGACTTCCCCCATTTTCGAACGGCTATTGATAGAGAATTGATAGAGAAAAAAACTTGTACCCTCCGGTAATCAAAGATGGTTTGCAAAATTGCCCATTTATAGAATTCTATACTGTAGATGATTTCCGCTTATTTCCTTATTAAATCCTCCATTTGGTTCGTGGATTTCGCAGCTAGCCATGTTGGATTACCCTCCGGGTGAATTCTTCAACGCTCATCGTTCACCTCATTCGCTTGAAGCTGCTTCTCCGCGCGCAGGGTCTCCTGGAGTTCAAAACGGTGGGATGCGGCTGGCAAAGGTTTAAACTGTTTAGACCTTTAAAAAATGTCTCATAGATTATCATGAGTATTGACCCGTTAACGATGGATAAACATGATGATTTTCTCATCAATAATTCCTTTTGGAACCATGAATTATATAATTTTGATAAGTGAAATTGATCCCATCATATCCAATCATCTGGAAAAATGCTCTTAAATCACCAACCTGAAAAGTTCGGCCTTTTTTGGGAGGATTCACCATACATAAACCATCCCATGATGTCGCGACATTTTCACCAGAACCAGTATCCTGGTGATTCCCAACATTCCCAGATGCTCCATGGAAATTTTGCCAACATTTGCCCAAAGCAAATCAACGAAACATGTGATCAAAGAAATTGAAGAAACACATACCATACATGCAGCATATGGTGGGAACAACAAACGTGGCGGCTGGCTGGAACAACTCCGATTTATGGATGATTTTCCCCAGCTATAAACATCGATATCATCCATTAAGTTCATGGATTTCCCGCGCCTCATGCAATTCTTGGAGCTGTTGATTCTCACGCCGCGTGGCTTGCTCATCACTGACCTGGGGTGCAAAAACTGGCAAACTGGGCTGAAGAGAACTGGCCAGGGAAGCCCAAAAACTGGAGAACTCTATGATTGTAATCTATCATCTATCACTGTTTCAGTCTTGTTCTAGTAGGATTTGTGCTTTTCTATCGGTTTGGGGGTTTCTGGGAAAGTGTTTGGTAGAGTGGGGTCAGCGCCCAATTGGAAATGGAATGACGTCAGTATGTGTCGTTTGAGGGACTTACCCACCAAGCAGTTCCATGGTTTTGAAGCTGCGGTGTTAGTTCATCGGTCAAACCCTTCCGGATTGGTTATTCCACCCATGTTTCAGCTGCAAAAATACGAAAGCCAGGAGCATAATCCCAGGTGGAGATTGACTTTTAACTGAAATTGAAACCTTTTTACAGCAATTCGGTTCCTTGCCAATCCGAAAAGCACCTTCCGATCCAACTCCTGCTTCCACACCAGCTGTTCTTGTTGACTTTGCAGCTCCCTCGCCTATGCGTCAAGGGCTGCACAACAAAACAGAATATTATATATATATAGACATATGAACACTGGCAAAATATGGCAAAGTACTTCATTCCCCTATGACGCGTATTTCCTATCTCTGCAATGAAACACCCATGCCCGTACATGGGTAATCATGGGTATCGGTATATGTCAAAGTCGGCCCCCAGCAAAATCAAATGGTTTAACGGGTTTCATAGCACCTGGAGCTGCTCGCGCAAGCCGCGCATGCAGGTCTCCTGATCTTCCAACCTAGGATCAGCTGTTCCACGTGTCATGTTTAAGGGATTTGTTGTGGGTAATGATTAATTCTCCCGTCATCTCCCGTCCAAAAATCAGCTTTAGCCTGATGTTTTCTGTCCATTTCCCTTGAACCAATTACGGACATGCGGAGGTGTCGGACCAATGGGGAAGATCTGCCGCTGGCGGCTAGTTTCCAGCCCATGGAAACAATGTGAGGACTGCCATCATCCCATTTTTGGCGCGGCTACAAAATTTGGAAGCCAGGCAGCCTGAAAGAAACAGGAGGAACCTGATGCCTACAAATTTTCAACAGGAAAACATGGGAAACCCCACACCAGCACGGCTTTCCCTAGGTTTTCCCTATCAAAAGGGGCTGTGGTCCCCAAATTTTGGCTACTGGGCTCAGTGGCTGTTGTTCCAACCGCGAGACCTGGTGCGGATGTGGAAACCGAGAAGGAAATTGAAAGCAGAAAAACAGTCAGTGCAGTGTTCAGAAACCAATTCAGGAAAGTGATAAACAATCGTTGGTGAAATGTGATCAACATAATGTCAGCTGAATTCTTGCATCTTCCACAAAAAAATCCGGCAACACACATATATATTGTCTGGGCTGTATATAATGATATATATATATACGATAAACAGGGGGGTTCTTTTCTGGTTGGTGTAAGGAAACGATTGAGACTTTATCGGTGGGCCACCAGCAGCGAATTTCAACATTATATATATGTGGTCTGCGATATCTCTGTCATTTCTTCTCATGGACCGGATGGTATCATCTCATCATGTTACAGTATTAACTAGTTATCATTATTTATCCATTCCTGTTAATTACTAGCAATGATCATTATGACCAAGTTATTGATATCAATAAATCTCGGACAATTGCGATGAATTGCTCTAAATTGCTAGAAAAGTATTGTGAACAATGAAAACATGACAAAAAACTCTGGTTGCGAAATCCTGCACCAGTTGATAGGTGGTTTATCCCATAATTCAATATCATTCATAGGGTTTCAACCATCCAAGGTGCAGGATTTCGCAACTATCCACTAATTTTGGAACCAAAGTCCCCCGAAAAAACTCCTCGCCTCCATTTGCAGGTCCTCAGCCTTGCGCCATTCAGCCTGGGTCACATGAGAAATTCCAATAAAACATCATATAAAATATATACCCTCTGTTAATCAAACATGGCTAGCTGGAAAATCCATGAAATCCCATAATTACAAATGAGGTTTTAATCGAAAATATTTACTGTACATGGTGGATTTTCCATTGCCATAGGATATCTTTATGTATGTCAAAGGTATCCATTCGTTTTGGAGGGTGAATATGTTTGAGATTTTGCGATTCTGGAGCTTTGAAAATGAGAACATCACACATATGAATGGGGACATGAACTACGAGTGGGGCGATTTCAGTAACAATCATCATTGGTATTTCAACAAAACCATAAGTCAGAAATGTGAGTCGATAATAGCAACCCCAAAAAAAAATAGAAACGTGGGAAGCCTGGAAATATGAAGTACATATAATCTATATAACAATATATAACATCCTTCTATAACACTGTTCGGCATCTTTTTTCGGAGTTACTCAACATAGTCAATCACAGGATTATTTTTCCAGGTCAACTTTACTAACCTTCAGCCTGCGCAACCACGAAAAAGTACGGGTGGCGGATGCGAGAAACTGGATAGTACTAGTACTGGTGTTTGGCGTGGAAAAACCAAGGTCGCATTGTGGATAGTTGCTGTTTAAGACATTTGTGGGGAACCATAAATCATGTACCAAAAGAAATGCGGACAAAATGTGGACTCAATTGATGTACAATCAGCAAGCATGATGGCACACATTCATATACGTTCCATCAGATAGTACATCAAAACAGGATGAGTGTTTTTTTTTTTCGACATCTCCCTTCAACAAAGACCTGGAAAAAAACTACACCATGCATATCAATTACGCATATACAGTATATACATGGTAAAAATCATATCATATATCTGGAAATGATTATATCATGGTAGTGATTATCTTAATTATATATGTTAGTTAACAATAATATCTGGATAATTCACTACCCTAAAAGAAACAAGTCACTGAAATCCCATGGCGATTTGGGGATCCGAATCCCAACCATCCTTCCGACATCACCACGTTCTTTGGTTGTGGTTCATCCAGCAATATGGTTCCTATAAACCAGAAATAAAAGCGTATAACTATGTATAACTAGGGTTATAACTAGCATAGGTTGGGATATAACCCGTATAATTATAGTATATTATAGTTATGTACCCACTCATATTCGATAATATTTCAATTTTTTATGGAGCCTCGAAAAAATACAAAGATTCCTTTTTTGGATTCCCCAAGGGGGAAATAGAGTGATACATACATTTACCCCATTTTATTTGCATGATATTCCTGTTAAGCCATCATTATAGTAGTATATCAGTGTATCCCCAAGTAAACGTACAAATTCCTGATATCCTTGTGTGTGGAAGAAATCCTGCATCAGTTAGTTTCCACCTGGTGCAGGGTGCCTTGTCCATCCACAGAATCCACAGTATCATCGCCAATCCTATGATAATGGGGATATACTATTATAATGAAGATATGTATATATATATATATGTGAACAAATTGATCCTTGTTCTGGATTATCCCTTTTGATTGTAGTACCGGTTGTGCTGGTAGTGCAGGGCAACGTCACTGCATGGCGTTCGGAGAACGGTCTTTTTCCTCGCGCATGACTTGAGCCAAGTGATTGGCAGTCCATGCATCACTGACTACATGCTCAGCATGTGAAATGATTGTATTACCTAGTTCCCTTTCGCACCCCCCATGCCTACGGCATCTTCGAACCGTAGGCACGAGAGTGGGAACTTTGAATTAAATCCTTCTGCTGCTCGAATTACGCCTATGTACATAAAACGTGCCATTCGGATCCCCCTTCCCCACATACCCGTCGGGTATAATGGTTCAGGGTTCACCTACTCTTTGGCTGTCGATGCATCGGCGCTTCCTCAAGCTATACAACGCGAATTATTGCTAGCTAACATCTACTTTTCTACGTTGGCTAAGCATGCCACTCACCCGTCGGGAGAAATGGATCGCCTCGCTACCAAAGATTTACAATGCTAACTAACGAATTCACGTGCACAATGCAGAATCTCGTGCAGATTGGGAATATCAAAATTCTTGAACCTAAGCGAATTAGTCTAATGCCTCGCTCAGTGTCCACTCAGTTGGTCTTTTCCTGATCATCTGTTCACAAAGACGGTAAACATCTTGTAGCCCAGTGATCATTTTGACGGATCGAAGTAATTGGTTTACTGCTCACGGCGGACTTTCTTCCATTGAGGTGCTGTTGGAGTTTTCTCCCATCCTGCCGCACGTTTCGGAGCAGCTTTCGGCGATGAAGGCTTTGCAGGCGGTGCCTTTGATGGTTCATGGGATTTCGGCATAGCCTTGCCCTTTGGTGCACTAGCCGATGAGGATGATGCTGAACCAGTGCCTTCAGGTGCCTGTGAAGGTTGCGCAGTCGGTTTAGCAAACTTAGAAGCTGCAGTATGTCCAACCGCTTTGAATACTTCACTCACCACTTCGTCGCCAAGGGTTGGAGCCATCTTCGTTTTCATTTCGGTCTTTCCCCTCTGCGCCTCGGCCTCGGCCAGCTGAATAGCATAAGCCATCTTGCTGACAAAGTTTTGAGGTAAAGGAATGCCACATTGTTGGGCTGCAAAGAGCAGTTCTACTCTCTGTTCTTTCTCCCTCAGGCTCAGATATACCGAGAAGAATGGGAGTTCGATGCAGTTGGGGAAGCCGTGGCTCCCGGAGCAAAAGAAGGTGTATGACTCGTGCTCCGGAAAGGTTCCTTTGAGCAGTCGTCGAAGGAAATTGCTGATGGTTACTCGCATCTCATGTTTCCCTTGGGCATCAGCCTGCATTCGGTTCATTGGCATGAGAAAGCCTAATGACTCAGGAGTGTACCCAGCACGTACCAGAAATTCCATCATCTTCTCATAGATTTCCAAAGTCTTGATGACAGGCATCATCATGTTTCTGGGTCGCCCTGAGTATAACTTCTCTCCTTCTGACCATGAATTCCTCTTCCCTTTCTGCTGAAAGAGTTCATCCAATTCCAGCTCCGTCGGTCGCTTGAGGTTGCCATCCTGGTCTTCTCCTGTATAAGGACAGAAGTCGTCCAGGTCCAGCCGGACTCGCTTGGTTTCCGTCATCATCTCATAGTACTCCTCTGGGGTCAGAGTGACTCTCTGTTTGTAGTAGAGCCTGAACATAGTGATGACCTTTGACATGACAGCATTGTCATACAAGTGAGCCGCGGCCTCGGAGACATCATTGTTGATAAGTCCGTCTTCTGGCATACCCTTGCTGCCGCTCTCGAGGTTCTTGGTCCATGCTGGAAGTTTGGAAGAGGATTCATCTTCAGGTTCGACTTCCATTTCATCTTCGTCTTCTTCAACGATTTCGTCGTCTTCCTGTTGGGCTTCCTCCTCCTGATCCATTTCTTCATCATCGCCTTCGTTGTAATCGACCTCGTCGGGATTGAAGCCATAGTCGTTGGATTCGGATACGTTTTCTTGTGCTTGATGGACCGTATCCTTGAACAACGATTCTTCTTGTCGACGAACTTCTTCATCGATCTCTTTCTTCGTGGCCTCATCTTCATCGTCTTCAGGAGCTTGTAGCCGATAGGGACGGATTCCACAACTTTCCAGTTCCGTCCAGCAAACTAGACACACTGCTAGTTTTGTCGGCGTCTCATTGAGACAGTGAGGACAATGGCGGCAACCTGATGTTTGCACCCTTTTGCGTTCGACTATGTAGTCAATCAGCTTGATGCGAGCCAGGTATTGTTCTTGTCCGCCAGGCTTGATGAGGTCGTTCTTGAATTGGTTGACGATGTTCATGGCATCCATGGCGGTTTCGTCAAACGGTTGATCTTCGGCGTCGATGCATTGACTTGCAACCCTCAAGATGGACTCCTTGGTGGCTACCGTTCTTGATTTGACAGTTCCAGACCGAACTACCTGGTCGTCGCCCGACGGGACGAACAACCGGAGCCATGTCTTATTGTTTTGGTCTTTTGGGTCCTGAATCCATCCTCCTTTGATTGCCGAGAACGGGATGATCTTTGGTGAGACGATCTGTCCCGAGTCAGTCAGTCGACCGCCATATTCCACCATCAAGGTCTCGGTCGGGATGAACAAGCAAATGTAGTCCCCCTTTCGCGTATCAACGCTCTTCGTGATAGTCCATGATCTGTGATCCCATGGCACATACGGGTTGAAGAACGTGAACATCCGATGACCTTCTCCAAGACCTCCTGGAATTAATCCCTGCCTCCAAATGCTTCGAAGGTTGGTCTTCTTGGTGATGTGGAAACAAACCGGTAACGACAAAATGGTGTTGGGCGCGATTGGATGTGAAAGTAATGAGGACAGCAATGAGACGTCGTCCCTTGAAGATCCTTCCTTGTGCCCCGTAGGAGCACGGACCGCCACAGGGTAGAGCAGTAGACCTTCATCAGGAATGTTCGTGTTCGCATCGACTTTGTTGTCAATGCACGTCAGGCTGGTGCGCTCGATGTCCTTGTTGATACCAAATGCCAAGACTTGTTCACGAACACGACGTCCATACCGGGCACAGTGGAACATGATCTTGAAGAGCAACGTCATGCGGTAGTTTGCCTCATCGACATTCCATGCACTCTGATCATTTGCTCTTCCTTTTGGAGCAAGGAATACATGTGGCCAGCGTGCGTACTCGTGCCTCCAGATGGACTCACATTTGAGCACCTCCTCGATGGGCACCCAGCCGGCGTCATCACATGACAGACTCTGTTGTTCTGATACCTTCCCCACGTTGTGCCGCAGGATCCTGTTTAGTGATGTACTCACCTTGTCCTCGTAGGTATTGAGTCGGTTGCCAGTCTCGAATCGGTAGTTGGCCGCATATTCTACACCGCCAAAGTAAGAGCAGTTGAAGAAATGGGCCCCCGTGGTCGGGATGATTTTCAAGAAACCATCTTGCGGCGCCTCGACTCTCTTGTAGAAGGGCTTCCTGATGTTGTTATCAGAGTAGCTTGCCATAAAGTCTGGC